CCCTGCCATGAGTTTTACTGGCAGTGGTGTGAGACAGCCGTGATTTCCACAGGTTTATTGAGGGTTAAATGCAGACATGGCACGGAGTGCAAAGGTCAAAGACAGAAAGAAGATGTGTAAGACTCAGCTGATACGGTGCTGCTCCCAGAGGGTGGGCAATGCCCCTCGCTGGGCTGCAGGAAGAGGAAATTCCTAGTCACTACCAGCAGAGTGGGTGCACAAGGGGTCTCACCAGCCAGGGCAGAGTTAAGGTGAATTTTTTACCCTGAGCTCCACAGTGGTGGGGCAGAGATGCTTAGTGACTACGTGCGTGAGCACAGACGTGCACACACACAGGAAAAATACTATTCCAGGCAAAAGTGACTGTCTAAGCCCCATGTTAACTCGGGAGTTTGTAACTGAACACAGTATTGGCCATGGCAGCAGAGGATGTCTGCACTTCCCAAGTGCTCCTTTCCCTCCCTGAAGGAGAAGGAGGCCACTGGATGTGCGTTTAAGTGCTTGCAATATATAATTTCTTGTAGGACCCATGACAGAAATCTCAGGCATGGTCTGTGTCCTGAAAATGTGGACAGTTTTATTATGTGGCAGTTTGAGCACATCAAAGACAACTAGCAGCATCTCTCCTCTTTCAGCAGCGTCCTCCCCCTTCATCCCTCACTACATAAAGCCCTCACACACTGAAAGTCCTTCTGGCTCACTCTCCCCCACCCACGCTAGGAAGACATCAAGTAGCTGGAAGCAACTTTTTGTGTGTTACATATCACAGAGTCAGCAGTTTTGTGGATGGTCATGTACTGCCTCGGTTACACACTGTCCGAGCTCTGCGCCAGGGCCCTTCCTCCCCACCGGGACTCCCACCCTGCTCAGCCAGGAGGTCTTAACCATTCCCATGGTCACCATCACTCCCCTCTCTGTCAGTTTTACCTGAGGGCAGCCTCTATTTTAAACTTGAATTTCCAAAGTCTTTAGCGATTTCAATTCAGTCTCATTCCCCAGACCCTAACTAGGAAAGCTTTTATAGGCTGAGGCAACGGTGGAGGGGAACTGCGGCCTTCTCAGAAGGGTCTGTCTTTGCATGTGGGTTGAAAAGAGGACTCAGACTTCCCAAGGTGACAAAGGCCTCCTGAGCTCCTCAGAAAAGACTCTATTTTCCCCTGACGTAGAAAGGATCATCCATCTCCTGCTTCATGCTGGGGAGAGGAAGAACCTCCTGGAAGGATAAAGCTTCATGAATTCAGGTCCCTCTCTGGGGCAGGGAGTAGGGTTCAGATGCACCCACAGGGCTTTTTCTGCCATTGTGGCATGGCTTGTGCGAGGAGGAAAAGATGGGAGTTCAACCACCCTGAGAGGCAAGGCTCAGCCCTCCTCACCCAAGTAGACAACTTATAGGTGAGAGAATGCAGTTTGTAGGCACTGCCAACCACTTTGGCACCCAAGGCATGTAGATTTGGAAACTCTGGAAAGGGTCAGCCTTGAAACAAAGAGGGTCATGGAGCTGTCACTCTGCTGTAATACCCAGTTTCTGAAATAGTTGTGGGCATGGTGTCCTGATGTTCCTGCTTACAGCTTGTAGCAGGCTGGGGGGAGCAGGGAGAGGCCCTCAGACAAAGGAATTGCTCTCTTGCTTGACAAGATCTTAGTGCCTGGAGAGGTTATTTATAGCACACACCCCAGTCCTGTGGTGGAAGCCATGCCCGCAGGGCACTGTACCTCATGCCTTGGAGAACCAGGCATTGTTTTAAGCTTGTGTGGGAGAGAGAAGCACAACGAGGAGGACAGAAGGAGAAGGCAGGCAGTATATAGGAGGGGAACAGACTGTGGAACAGGACTTGGCATTCATTGTCCCCCAGATTTCAACCAGTTCCTGTCCTGATGCCCCATTTTGGAAGAAAGGTTGCAGCAGTGGTGGGGACGTGTGAGCAGTAAAGATTTTGCTGGCAGAGATGAAGATCAGACTAGAGTTCATAATCAAGCCTTGCCCCAGACCCTGTAGCTCCCACAAGCAAGACTTTTTGACAGGTGTCCTCATCTTCATTCTTCAACCAAGCCTGTTTCTCTGTCAATGGGCATAATGGATTGTTCTGATAACTAATTTATTAGTGCTTTTCCTAGCCTTCCCTAATGCTTTCCCATTCTTTTCACAAGGCAGCAGATTGAAATAAGCGACTTTCACAGTCTTTCTGGGCATTGAGGTTCTATTTCCTCTATTACAGTGGGGAAGTAAAAACTAGATATGGGCAGAAGAGGAGCCAAGTTTAGAAAATAGTCTGCTTAGTCAACCTTTTTCAGTGTCTGTTTCTTTCCCCTTTCACAAATTCCCCTTGGATCTTAGTTTTGGGTTTTTTAATGGAGTTTAAGAGTAGGAGGCTGCATTTCTCTAGCAGTAGTCAGAGAATTTGAGGGTTTTTAACATGTTGCCTTTTGGATAGGCAAAAATCTCAGCTGCACTAAACAAGCACCTCTGAACTTGCCCCTTCTGCTTTCTGCTGCACTTGTCATATCAAGAGCATTTACATTTTATGTCTAGTGTGACAGTCACCACGATGCTATCCACATTGCCAGGCAGGTCTTTGAGTTTGGGCTCCAAGCAGCTCTGCAGTCCCTGGGGAGCTGTGTTCAGCCTCCTCATCCCTGGGGGAAGCTGGGCCACAAGTGCCAGAGAGCGCATGGTACGCTGCCCAAGGCTGGGGCCGAGTACACGTCAGTGAGCCGGCATATGCGTGTGTACTGCCATCATGGATGGTAGATAAGGAGTTGAGAGAGATGCGTACTCAGCACATAGCACAGATGAGCTCAGGTGGGTTTCTTTGTAAGCAGGAAAGCTCCACTCGCAAATGCTATAGCTCAAAGTTGCATCTCTTATACCAAGCAAATAATAACTTATTTTAAAAAAAAACCAAACCAAAACCACAACCCAGCAGATATTGATAGCCTAGCTTTGTGGGTGTTTTGAGGATGAGGAGTTGCTGGGGGGTTTTCAGGCCTTAATTTCTAAACGAAGTGGCATGACTTCCAGATTTTTAAAAGTTGTTACTACTTTTGCACAGAAATAACTAGGTTCATATTGTATGCAGTAAGAACAGCATTATGCTTCAAAGGTTGTCTTCCTTTAGGAGCAGCTTTCCTGTTCCCTTCAGCGCACTATCGTGCCCGCGTATGGAATAATCTCCCTGCCTAAGTCCCATATCCCATCCCTGTGCCCTCACCTCTGGCTTTTCTTTGGGGCTGTCCACAGAAGTTAGAAATTCTGCTTCTAGATCAAACTGAACAAAACCCAAAAATCAACCTGTCTCCATTGTACCTCTCTCTTTTGAGAGCATGCTCTGAGTGCCAACGTGATCCAGCCCCTCTGGAGGACTACACAGTTTTACCTTCTCAACTGTACTAGGGGAGGGCCAACATATCCACGTCTGAGGAACCTTTGAATGCGAGCAGAGGCACAGCTCTGGCTTCTTGGAGAATCTGAAATACAGCATTTCTGGGGATGGACAGCAGCTGAGCTGTTCTTTTAAGACTCCTACTTTAAGCATTTGTGTCTGTATTAGTTCAATCATTGGTCTGAAAGCATGCAGTGGGTCTTGAAGGAGCATAATTCTCAGTCCAACAGAAGAAAGCGAGAATAAGGTGGCTTAAAACCATCACTGTTCTCACCGGACTTCACGTTGCCCAAAGTCATCTGTATAGCTTATTAGCTTTGGATGTGGGGATGCTGCCTAGTTGCAGTAATGTCTCCTGTCTTCTGGAAGAGCAGCGTTGCCCAGATCTGTGCTGTTTGCACATCTGCTGTGCTCCATCTAATCAAGCTCCTCAGAGCACTCCAAAGCACTTTCCAGTGTTTTCTTTAGCCGCAACTGGAAACTTTACATCCTCTTTTATGTCACAGTAACTCTTACTACTGCAGTTTTTCTAGGAAAAGTCAAGCAGCACTGTGTTTCTGTCCCCAGTCCATATGGGCAGTAGATTTTTATTGTATTGAGCATTAAAGTAGCCATATCCTGTGGCATCCTAAGATTATTGGAGGTTTCACTAATAAAGCTGGATGGTGGGAGGTTATTTCAGTTTTGGTCTTCTCAGGGCATAAAAAGCTAATGGAAAAGCCATCTTTTGGAAATGGATGTTTCCTTCTTGGTCCAAATGGTAATTCTAGAAACATCATGAGCACAAACTGATTTTTCAAGCAGGTGAAATAGCTGTAGTCTACAGAAGAATATTGCTGAGTATTTTATTCCACCGATTTAAGGATTTTAGGATAGACTTTTAAGGGGTCTAGAAGCGTACTGCAAGCAGAATTTCATTTATTATTTACTAAAAGAGTTGAAACTCTCGGGTATTCATTAGGAGAGAGGAGTTGTACAGACTGCTCAAATATTCTCTCTGTGGTGTTGCAAGTGCAGATAGAACAGGCTCCTGCTATCAAAAGAGAAACACTAAAACTTGTAGGATAAGATAAGCGAATCTAGATAATAGGTTTGTAAACATAAATAGGCCATTTAAGAGGTAGAAAGTATACCTGAAACACTGCTATTTTTATAAGCCTGACTAATAATCCAATCGATTTTTAAAAAAATTTATTTGAAACTCCTTTTTTAAATTAGCAGCACATGTCAAAACCGATAGAATTTCTTTGGCAAATCCTAGGTGCTGCAGCCCTTGCTGGATGTATGCATTCCAGTAAGGAACATGAGGATTACTTGGTTTAGTTTCATATCTGGGTTTTACTGGGAGGGAGGGGAAAGTAGAAAGGAAAAGGAGGGCATTTTCCTGGATTATACTGTGATGACAAAACCTGGCTTGACTGATTTTCCAGAGACAAAAAATGGCTGATTTCAGACAGCAATGTCCCTTTTATGTTCTTTTTTCTATCTTTTTTTTTTTAAAAAAGGGTGTGAAGAGCTGTTTCTGTTTTTCCACCCCCCTCTCTCTCCTCAGGGTTTTTCTTCCAGCATACAGTTCGTTATCAAGTTTCAGAGTGTGCTTTGCAGCACTGAGTAATGCACTGGAAAAAAATACCAAACATTTGATATCTTAGAATAACAAATCAGTTGGGAAGGAGCTTTTCTGCTGCTCTTGCTTCCACCCCTGTTGTACTTAAAGGGGTACTGCCAAAATAAAAACAAAGACTGCAGTTTGTTTGTGGTTTAGGTATATACAATAGATGAGTTACTGGTAACACTTATTTTCATGGCCTTTAACATGTAAGGGAAGCAAAGCACAGCAGAAGTTCCTACTCCAAAACATGAGGTAATTCAGCTGATTCAAAGACAAGGATATGAAAAAACGGTGCAGATCTTTGTTCAAAGCACAAATTAAAAAAACTAATATTGAGAACACAACATGAGCAAAACGCCCATTTTTTTCTTGTAGCATCTTGAAGGCCAGAAGGTTTGGGTTGATGCTGCCTTTGGGTTGGTGATGACTAACAGACCACTAGCGTTGTTTTGTAATTTAATATAAAAGTAAAATATGTTTGAAAATGTTCTTGTTGGATAATGAGGAACACCCAAACGTTTGTTCAGTGTGTGGCAAGCTTTTCTGGTTTGTTGTGAGCCTGTGTGACCTAACAACATCAGTTTGGAGTCAATAATACAGGAGAACCTTAACCCTATGCAGAATCTGATGTCTGCAGAGGACCGTTATTACTCTATTTTCATCATTCTGTGGAGTTCGTAACCAGGGACCACTTTAGGTGCCGTACGAAGTCCTACTCATAAGCATCTAACACCAAAAACACAGTGGGTGGATGCAGGTGATAAACACAAGAAACCAGTGCTAAAGTCTTGGTCTGCGGGTTAGGAAATACTGTAAATCTAACCTTTCTTTTTGCAACTATCACTGCTGAAGGGAACGGCAAGGAGAGGTTTGTAGGAGGATGGGGCGGTTTTCTGGGGAGGTTCCTCCATGCACAACAGGCAGCACAAGAAACAGCACATCAGCGCTTGTTTGAAAATTGAAGGTGCTGCAGTAAGCTAGCCAGAACTGTGAATTGACCAGGACATGGCCAAATGAGACGCTAAATGCTAGTGGGGCGGCCTGTGAGAGGCTTTGAAAATGAAGACAAGCAGCTGGTATTTTACCTAGTAAGCAACAAGGAGCAAGTGGCAAGGCCATGCAAGGGGTCGTTACAGTAACAGGCTAGGAAAATGATCCTTGCAGAGACACTGCAAATGGATATCAGCGGGAGAAAATTACCCTGTCAAGATAAGAGGAGAAGGTGTTTTGTAATCCTAACATGAGATGAGAATCTAGATGTGGATGGTCAGGAAAGGACGTATTTTGCAGATGCTTCTTTCAAAACATCTTTAAGAATTAAACAGAGCCAGGACGTGAGGACACAGAGTAAAGACCAAATCCAAGGATACAGCTAAGTTACCAGCCTAAATGCTGTGCAACGTAAGGATATTATTCCCACTAGTCAAGGTGTAGAGTAGACAAATGAATCTGTATTGAAGAAGGTGGTTGAATTATTTCTCACAAATAAGTTTACCAAAAATACGAGGTAGAGACGATCCCCTGGGTCCTGAAGGTGGGACAAGAAAATTCTTCAAGAGGACACCCTGCAAGAACAGAGTCAGGAGACCCAGGGAAGGATGGTGTCATGGAAGCCAGGCGGAGGATAAGCTAACAGAAAGAGCAACATCAAGGTGCCGGTTTCTAGATTTGGTCATGGAGGAACATAAGCATCCCTACTAGTTCTCCTGCAGAGCTGCTTGGCAGGACACACTAAGTCAGGGGAGTGAAGCCTGCAGCTATTTTTCAGCAGAGGACTGGGGCAGGGCTTGCCAAATGGCAAGCCACAAAGCTTGCAGTCAGTGTGCATGCTTTCTCTGAAATACTTCTGCATGCCTGCGGTGCCAGTCTTACCTTTGGTACTATTAAAAAGCCAAAGGAATTACTGGAAGAGATATTTAAACTAAAATTGAGGTTGACTGCAATTAATGTATGGTGAAAAGCGCTTCAGCAGAGGAATCAAGGGTTGAAGGGGTTGCATAGAAAAGACAAGGCAGCAAAGGGCCTGGATTGCCTCTTAGGGACAAGCATGATGGTAATATAACTTTTTACCTTTATTGAGAGCGCGCTATGGTTCTGCAGTGGAGCTGTTTTGCTTGGCATTTGACTTGTCTTCTGAGCAACTTTGTTCTCTTCTGGGTTGGGATGGAACAGTGGAAGCCTCTGAACTGGCGTTGAAGATAATGCTGCTGGACACCCCTGGTAGCCCAAAGTAGCAGAGTTTGTCTTGAAGTCTCTGCAGCGTGACCTCACAGAGCACTTCAAGAAAGGCCCACGCTCAGTGTGAGGGTTTCAAAAATTCATCTTAATTTCTAGAATTTTGAATAGTATTTGTTGTAATGCATTTCTTTTCTTTAACCACTTCGCATAATATATTTCAAGGCTACTGTTGTTGGAGAGGGAAAGCGCCAAATCCTGCTCATTGTGAGTAAGCCAAGAGGGAGCTCATCACTGGATCCTAAAACCCTCTACTGAGAAAGAAAATAACCCAGGTTGCCTTGCAGCAGATGAAGAGCTGAAACAGGACATCGGGGTGGTGTTGTTTCGCTTGTCTGAACGAAAAGAAATTAGTATGATCGAGAAAACCATATGTATTGTAGATACAGTTAGACTCGGGTTAATTTTCCTGTAATTTAACAGTGTGGATTTGTCTGCCCTTTACAGGCATGAATAACCGTGAAGTCTTGGAGCAAGTAGAACGTGGTTATCGGATGCCATGTCCTCAGGACTGTCCCATCTCCTTGCACGAGCTTATGATCCACTGCTGGAAAAAAGACCCAGAGGAGCGTCCAACTTTCGAATATTTGCAGGGTTTCCTTGAAGACTACTTCACTGCAACAGAACCCCAGTACCAGCCTGGGGACAACCTGTAAATCCCTCGTCTCCAGACACTGTCATGAATTACCAGGTGTTTCTCAGCCCTGCCCCACCTGTCCTTCAGCTTCCAACTCCGTGATCGGCTTCTCCAGAGTGCTGCATCTTCCAGCACCGCCGTGCACAGGAGGGGCTGAAGCTGGGAACTTCCGCAGCCCTTGCCTACGACCACTTGTCCTAATAATCTGAATGTCCTGGATGAAAAGGAGAAAAACACTCGTTCTTTCTTAATCAAAGACTCCAAAACTGCATTGTATTGATGTTATGTAAACTTCAAAACCTCTGTTCATTGTAAATAGTAACTCGGTGCCAATAACTGATCCTAGTGCTTTCCTTTTTTTAAAACGCAAAACCTATGTGATTTTAACTAGTCTTCTCCTGATTCAACTAAAAGTATTATTTTCCAGAAGTGGCCTCTTTGTCTAAAACATTTTTTTTCATGTTTTAACAAATAAAAGAAAAATCGGGACAGGTGTTTGGTTTTTTGCTTTTTTATATATAAAATATATATAATATATATACATACCTGTACATACAGTATATGGGTGCTATTGCAGAGGAAACTCATTTGGAATTGAATGAATCCTGCTGCAGCAGTACCCAGAAAGTGATAATTTTACTTACAGTATATGGTGCTATTGCAGAGGAAACTCATTTGGAATTGAATGAATCCTGCTGCAGCAGTACCCAGAAAGTGATAATTTTACTGCAGACATGAAAACACTGGTGGGATTCTGAAAGCCAGTGGTCTAATTTTTGGCTTTTGCCAAGCATGATTTTTTTAAATTGGATTGCACTTTTTGTTTATGATTATGTACCTGTAGATGGTTGTAACTTTGCTCTTTCAGGAATCATGTGCTGTATTTACAGTAATGTTTCCAATGTTTGACAAGTGTGTGATGATTTGTTCTTGAAATTAAAACGAACATATTTAAAGCAAGAAAACTACACCATCACCGTTTGAACTGGAAAATTGAAACTGCAAGGACTTCTTGTATCAAAACATGTATACCGAAATGTTTCGAAAAGATTTATTAAACAGTGTAACCACATTCAGATGGTCTTAAAATCATAGCATTTTAGCCATGTCCACCTGCTAAACTGTTGGTCATGCAACTAGGATTTTTCTGTTTTATGTGTAACATTTTTCCATTGTAAAATAAGTGTGTTAAATGTCCTGTACTGCTAATGAAATTACTTTCTCTATGTCTGCAAGTTCTCCAGTGGAATTACTATGCACTTCTTTACATTTCATGGGGGATGCACAGAACAAAGTATTACCTTTTCAGTTGTCTGTACCAGCCTTGAATTACTTACGTTTAACCAAAAAAAAAAAATTCCTTTCTATTTCTATTGAGTTTTTAATACTGAGTTGCAAATTTTAAAGTCTTAATTACATTTTGTTATGGTTTATTTGCAAGTTTACATTTTAAAACTGTTTAACTTTCTTAATTTAGTAATTAAAAAAAAGAGCATTTTACATTTGGATAGTTGTTCTTTTGTTTAAACTGTGGAGATAACGGTGGAGATGAGATAAAAACTTTTCAAGAAGGGGTGTCATGCCATTTGGGGCATCATATTTTGTAGGAGTATGCAGACCAGTTACCTATGGGACATCATTTTCCAAATTATGTAGTCAATATGTTTTTAAACAGCTGGAGTTCAACTGTAAGGAAGATGACTGAATGCAAAGCTAGTCCCTCATTTCTCTGCTCTACAAGCAGTTTATTCTTTAATAGTTCTGTTGCATTTAACGTGAATACTTTTACATTTGCAAGTGTTGCAGGAAAAAAATTTCTATGCCTTGTATTACTGTTATTGCTTTAAAATATTGCAGCCAAGTAAGACTTCCTGACAGTTGAAACTTTTTTTTTAATTATTTAATATTTAGATTGTGAATTCATATTCTGAGTATTCACACATTTACTAAAGGGAACCTTTTTCCGTTCCTGAAAACTAACCCAATAATGAATTGAGATTCAGAGAACAAATTATCATTGTTGGTTTAATATTTTCTATACAAAACATTGATTGAAAATCCTCCTGCAAAGGAAGGTTCCACACTTAGCCTTTCTTGAAGTGTGAATTTATATGGCAATGTTGCTTGTTACCAGATTTCCATGATAAATTGGTTCACGTTTTACATGTAGAGTCTATAAGTAATGTTATGTACCTGATATATTCAATGTTGCTGTACCCGTAGCTGTGGAGTACTGAAGAGGCCGTAATTCTTGTTGGACTTTTAGCTTCCTCTTAGTACTTACAAAGCAAGTCGTGGTCCTCTTTTTCCCACAGCTACCCCCCTGCCTTAAAACGTCATCCACTGAACTGAGGACTCCGTAGTAACTCAGCAGGCTGGCGAAGCCAAAATGTCACGTACTCAGCCCAGTGCTCGGTGGCAAAGCATGGCCGTTCTGCCAAGTTCCTTAGCAGCCTTTGCTATGCCACAAACTTAAGTGCAGTTTCCATCTGTAACACGGGATGAACCTAAAACATTAGTTTTGCCTATGTTTCTCGATGGAAGTAAGACTCAGATGGGGCGTTGTTGGGGTTTTATGGCCTTTACTTCTGATTCTTGGGTTTGTTGTTTCTTGTATCGCATTCGGTCTATGAGTACCATGTTGGTCTCTGCCGCATCTCTGCCTGCAGCTGGCTTGTGTGCAGACTGGTGCCACTGTTGAGTGGCAAATCCAGACCATTTCTCATCGGTAGCTCTTCTGCTTCTTTTTCTTAATGTTGGGAGTTTTGTTGTTTGGGTTTTTTAATCTCTCAAATAAAAACATTAGCAAAAATTTAAACAAGGTTGTTAGCATTTTTGCTATAAATTAATAAAAACCTTTTCTTAAGCACTGTGTGCACACCACAAATAGCTGTGTGGTGACTGTAAAAGTTGAATTATCAGATAAGAAATCTCCTGTTCCCTCCAATAATTTTTTTAACGTAAGGCTAAATAAATCCTATCCAGGTAAAAACAATTGGCCAAACGCTCCCCCCCACGAGCACACCTGACTCCCAGCCGATCCTTGGTGTGGTGGCGAAGTTCCAGAGAAGGTGACCTACCAGCAGCTGAAAGGACTCTGTGGGGTGACCCAGGCATCTCTAGGCCAAGCTTAATCCAATACCAGTCCCAGGAAAAATGACAGGCAGAAATGCAACACTGCCGCGAAAGGGACAGTTAGTATGATTAATGCCTGTTAGCATATTTCTATGAGAAGGAAATGGCGTGAGACTTGGTGGGTCTTCAGAAACATCCAAAGTTTGTCAAAGGCACTAACATGATATTCTCTGGCTTCTGCAAACAGCGTTCAACTTAGTTCTATCTGATGTTCCGGATTTGATTTAATTACCACTGTAGAAAAGCAAAGTAAATACAAAGCAGAAAAGTGATTAACTGCTAAAATTACAATAATCATAAATGGAAAATCTGTCTCCAGTGCGAGCGTTTCTCCTGAAGCCTCTAGACTGGAAAGGACTACCTGCAGACCGAGAAGACAGATTGCTAAATGTATTTGACCTTGCCACACAACTTCAAGGTGAGTGGGAAGTTGCTCAAATTTATTTTAATATGCACCGTCCTTTTCTCAAATGCTGCAATAAAAATGCAATACACTAATGAATGCTACCACATTCTACCCGAGGGGTTTAAGGGCCTCGCATGAGGCTGAGCCGAAGCATGCAAGAGCTATTAGGAGATATACAGTAGCTCCTCTTCTAATGTGTAGACAATATTCATTCATCAAAGAAGGCTTTTCCTGTCTAATGGGAAATTACCACCAGCAGTGCAGACAAAAGGATATTTATTTTCTCCAGTCGTGTCAGTTTGAGGGTCTGTCTGTCTTTCAAGAATAATTGAAGTCTGTTTGTAGCTCAGAAATCTCATTGTGTTCTGCAATCTCAGTAAGCAGTGATTATAATTTCCTGTGACTCACACACAGGGAAATTTTATCACTGAAGGGGCTCCTGTCAATTGGGCCAGCATTCCCTGCCATCTTAACTGAAGAAAGAGGCACTTCAATTTCGGATTTGCCTGTGCAGACCAAACCAGAACCCGTGTCCTTTCAGCAGAAAAGGGAAAGAGGTCCCTTGCCAAGACGCCACTGGTGTAGGGTGTCCGTCTCTCCTTCCCAGCGCTTTTGAATTTGTCAGGAGAACTTCTGACAGCTAAAACCAGGTTACTGAGCTTCATTTTGAATGTTAGAGGGAAAATGCTAGCTTCACCTAAGTCTGTGAGATATTTTCTGTTGACTTTTAATACAGCCAGTGTTCTTATATGTATGTGTGTGTCTATATATCTCAAAATGCAATTTGCACACAAAAACATCTATAGCTACACAAACATCAATCCATCTCCTTGTATTCCTCCCTTGCAGCTGAATGCTTAACAGAAACGTAAGACCGGGATGTGAGTAGATTAGAGGACAGAATGGTGCTAGCAACAAAAGAGCTTCTCTTTTTTTTTTTCCTTTTTTTATTTTTTCCTGGCTCCCACTACTTGATCAGTCATAATCCCTATTCCCAGGCCAGGAGAGGGGTGGTAGCAGCACACGTTGCTGCCGCAACCCGGTGATGCTGTGGGTCTCTAGCTACTGCGAAGGGCAACCTGCAGCTGATTTCAAAGTCGGGGAGGGAAGACATTTCTCCCGAGGGCTTGGAGGCAGTTTGGGGCCTGCGGTGTGATCATGCAAGAGGGCCGAAAGGGGAGAAGAGTGCCCTCCCAGGAAAAACAGGTCATTAGCTGGTAGGCTGTGCATCATGTGTAGAGGAAGATCCAAAGGTTGCAGCACCAGCTGTGCTCGCAGCACCTGTGTTTCGCTGTGGCCAGGGATTTAGGTGATCAGATTAGAGCAGGCTGGTGAGCCTCAACTGCGGTTTCTGTTACCAAGGGTAAATATCTTCCCTGTTATGGGTGGGGGTAAATAGAATATATTCAAGATGGGCAAAAAAATCACAGGACTGGTGTGCCTGTGACTGAAAGGCAAGTGTTGCATCCGCCTGACCAGGCCAGATGGGAGTTTGATTGTTCGGCTCATTGTTGGGAATAACTCAGCATTAGGCTCTGTGAATAGCTAAAAGGGCAAAGAGCAAAGCAATGGGATTATCTCCTTCTTCTACAGCCGGGCTAGAGCCTGCCGAGGGCTCTGGTTTGCTTTTTTGTGCGTCAGCATTTTTTGCCGAGCCCCCACACCCAGTCTTGTGCAGTTTGCTCAGCTACTTATTGTCACAGCCTCACAAAAAATCCCTGAGCCCTGTAATGGACGATTTTCATATGGAAAAAGAGAAAAGGATGCAGGGAAGCTTTCTGACCATGTTGTAGCTTTACTCGCTGACCCTGGGGCTCACCCTCATGCCAGAGGCCTGCCCAAAAGCCCTGCCATCCCCTACGCTTTATTCACCGCCGCAGTTCAGGCTCTGGGCTGCCTTCCAGCCCCGCTACACTGCTGGATTTCCCCAGCTAGCAGTTGCTACTTGTACAGGAAAGGTCCCTGGTGTTGGGAAAAGGGTGCGGTGGTCCCAGCACACCCCTCCTGGCACTGTGCGGGGCCGGGGCCGTCCCTGCCGCTGGGCCAGGCTCCCGGAGGGGAGCGGCGATGCAGAAGGGGCCTGCGGCTTCCCTGGAGGCCCCTTTGCCTCCTGGAGCCACCGTGCTCCTGGCCGTCGGCAGCAGTTTGGACATGACTGTGTGTAGCTGCAAATGGGTCTTGGGGTGACTTGGTGGGGGCTTTGTTGACACAGCCCACAGTCCTCAGCCCTGGTGACGACGGAGAAGCAGATGCTAACTCCTGCTCTCCTAAAAAAAGCAGCGGCAAAGAGCCAAATCAGGAACCGCTTTGCATCTTAAAGACAGAGGACTAGGTATGTTTGATCATATGAGAGCTCAAGTGTTCCCTCAAATTCCCATGCCTCCCAAAAGCAGCGCGGCCGCCAGCTGAGCTTTGTATATGACCTCATATACATCCAGCGTATAAAACACATACCGCATACTGAACATTTGCATATGTTACACGTCTTTTGTTCCACTTGGGTGGCCTTCTCCTCCCCTTCCCCCTACCTCTCGCCCCATTACTCGCCCACGCAGTTCTCCTCACGTTATTCTAGACGTGTCATTTCTGAAGGACTACACATCCCGGCCCTGCGGAGAGTGGGGGCTCTGTTAATTGTCAAATGTTGAGTGGGTAACGATCAATGGATGAGTAATTGGAAGCAAGGGGGAATAAAATAGGTATTACTTAGCTTCTGCTCTTAATTAAGAGGACGCATAATGCTGTGGGGAAAATCTTAACAAATGGCAGGAGGGTTTTTGTCATTATGCAAAGTTTAATTAGAAGCATTGCACAAGCTAACATCCAGGTACTGTTTTCTTTCCTTTCAGGTGTCTCTCCAGGGTGTGACTGAAAAATGCCAAAGCAAGAGCCTTAAAAAAAAATAAGTGGAAAATATTTCTGCAGGCATGTGCCTAGCAATCTAAACAGCAAGACGTGGAAGAAAGCCCCAGTTTCCCTCACAGTGCAAAAGCAGCAAGGGGCAAGTCGAAGGCAGAGAACTGGAGCGAGAGTGTCGTGTGCGTTATGCTGAGGCAGATGGGATTAAATGCTCATTGCAATTTCTCCAGGTTAATTCACAGCACCAATGTTAAAAGTGGAGCAACATGACAGTGCTTTATTTGAACAGTTAATCATGTGGAAGCAAAAACATTTATGATTTAGTTCTCTGAATATAAGGATGGAGTGGGAAATACAAGAAGCGGCACTCGATATTGACATTATCTTCCTAATCAAAAAAGAAATATTACAACTCCTGAAGGACTAGGAACCACTTTTTATAAAAAAGCTCCATGTTAGTTGCCTTGCCAATGAAAACACTCATCCTGCACTTGAATATTAATCTGTACTTTCTGTGACAGGCCCAATATGATGCATCACATTCTGCTTGTAAATAATGTACAGATGAGATACTAACTTTAAAGAGTTCAGAGTTTGATCCGGCTTTCGGTGAAGTCAGTAGGAAGATTTCAGAAATATAAAACAGGCTTTCAGAAAGCAATTAGGACGGCCTCAGTTTTGGGGATGGGGGAGGCTTTTGAAATGCTAAAATAAACTTGGATATCTGTTCTCTAAGTTTCCTAATCCAAAAACGAGTTAATTGATAGCAGTTTCTACAACTTTGTGGGAGGGTACTTAGGTTTGGGCTGGGCTGGACCTCATCTTTGCTTTGAAACCCACTCAGCAGACAGTGCTGTTAACACAGTTAGCGGAGAGTTTGGTTTTTTTTTTTTTTTCTCTTTCTCAGGCTGCTAAGGAAGTACATAAAGCTCAAGTGAGAGGAACTGCTCCAAGTACCTGCTGGTTTCTGGGGTTTGGCAAGTTAAAGACGGGACAGAGACTGGTCCTTTGGCAGCAGCTGCAGACACCATTAGGTCCGTAGGTGTGATTTCTGGACCTGGAAGTGCTCACACAAGGGCCAGATTTCACAGCGTATTCCCCAGGCATGGTGTCCTTAGGAGCCAAGCTGCTCTGCGCTCCTTTCTTTGGGCCACAAATACCACTTCAAATGAAGATATGTACGAGTGGTCAGGATGGAAATGACCCCAGGAGACTGAATGCTGACTGAGGTAGCATTAATTCCCAGGGGCATTTCTAGGTGGCCAAGTAAAATATATACGGAGCTACTGGAGAGAGCCCCGCGAAGGGCCACAAAGATGATAAAAGGGCTGGAGCATCTGATGTATGAGGAAAGGCTGAGAGGGCTGGGACTGTTCAGCCTGGAGAAGAGAAGGCTCAGGGGGATCATATCAATATATAAAAATACCTGGAGGGAGGGTGCAAGGAGGACAGAGCCAGGCTCTTCTCAGTGGTGCCCAATGACAGGACCAGAGGCAACAGGCACAAATTGAAATGCATGAGGTTCTCTCCGAACATCAGGAAACACTTTTTTACTGTGAGGGTGACCAAGCCCTGGCATAGGTTGCCCACGGAGGTTGTGGAGTCTCCATCCTTGGAGATATTCAAAAGCCATCTGGACGTGGTCCTGGGTAACCATCTCTAGGTGTCCCTGCTTGACGGGGGGTGGACAAGATGACCTCCAGAGGTCCCTTCCAGTCTCAACCGTTCTGTGGTTGTGTGTGTGATTCTGTGGGAAAATGAACAGCCTGAGGCTTTGCGACTTATTTGTCCAGCCGTGTCCCAGATGCTTCAAACGCATGCCGGCCCTCAGGCACCCCACCAGACAGGGACCCTGGCCAAGCTCTGCTGCGGCAGGCCGGTGTGGGTCACAGCCACAACCACCCTCCTCTGGCCAGCTGGTAGCTGTCTACAGGGGAGGCAGGTGGCCACTGTTGTTTGCTGGGTGTTGCAGCCTGGTGTTCAGGGTATGACCAGTGGGGAATGGAAGAGTGTCCATAACCATTGTCGGCAAGGAAGGCCACTCCACTGCGTGAAGGGAGAGGTGTTTGACGGCTGCACAGCAGAGCCCTTTAGAAACAAACCCCATAAACACAGGTACTGATGCAATGTCCCCGTGGGAGACTGCCCGCCAAGTCCCCGTGCCCAGCCATGGCTGCCTGCAGTCCCTGGGGAGCTGGTTGATGCACTACAAACACTACACAAGTCCTTCGCATAAGCCCCAGGAAGGTCAGGCACTCCTCAGAGCAGCTCTCCCTCCCTGCTCCCATCCTGCCTACATTCACCAATGCCCTGATTTTGGCTCCTGTGTGGCCTTGGGCCCCTCACCTCCCTTCTCCACCATGGCACACAGGCTGCAGCAGGGCCATCACTGCTCCCAGGTGGGAGGCCGGAGGGGAGGCCGGCAAGCAGGGCAGCCACCAGAGACGGATTTGGCACGACTCGGGGCTCATACAGCCCTGCTGAAAATGCCAGCTGTCGGGGTGTTCATGGTCCAAAACAGCTGTGCAGCAGAGTCGCCATGCTTGAGTTCAAACCAGAGGGATTAAACCTTGAGCTGACTCAAATGGCCACGGTTGTAATGCAGCCTCTCTGGCCACAAGCATCGACTGCCCATCACGTCTGGGTCTTGCTGGGACCTGCTGGCAGAGCAGGGGTTGCCTGGGCAGTCTGGGGGCACCGAAGGACAACTCTGGGATGTCCCAAAAGGGAGGCTTGGTATCCTGCTGGCCTGTGCCTTGGCGGAGGAGGGAAGGAGGGAGGGAAGGAGAGGGTCAGAGCTGTCAGCAGGATGGCAGGGCTGACATGGTGTTTCTCCAGGAGGAAGGTAAGCTCAGGCTGTGGGGCGTCACTGCACTGCCACCGACACAATCGTATTTAGTGCTCAGCACGTGCTGCTCCCAGCTGCTTGAATTTTCCCTCCAGAAATGTGGGCAGTCATTCCCTGACAAGAGGAAATAAGTGCTCGGGTCATGGCTTCACCATGCAACTGCAAAGAGGGGCTGGCAAATCAGCAGGGCCCATCCCGGGGGAGGAACGCCAGGCAGGCAGCTCCCTCCTCCGGCGCCATGCCATGGGAAGGGCGCAGGAAGGAGAAGTGGTGGCACTGCCCAAGCGAGGGCCTCGGGGGTGGTTTAGACATCCCTCTGTGCACAGGCTGGCCGATCAAGTGTTAAGGCAGCGTGTGGCGGCAGCCCATGGACGCCTGGAGGATGAAGAGCCGTGCACAAGTTGCAGCCAAGTCAGACTCCTCCTAGGGTTAAACGAAGAAAATGTAGGCTAAAGATCAGGAAGAGCTTCTTGGCAGGGAGATGCACTGAGTGGGGGGGGGTCAGGAAAGCAGTGTAGGCTGGGACACGCAGCTGTGTTCAGCAGGCGCACTGGGGACCGCTGCTGTGGAGCCTGGCACTGCGCCGACAAAGCGGCTGGCGTGGCTTACCGGGGCTCTTCGAACCCCACCGCGCCATCAGTGCCGACATTACTCGGCTTTCAGAAGCTGTGCAAATATGTAAGAGTTTCAGCTTGTCGGAAAAGCGAGTTTCTGCTCCTTGGGGGTGTAGAGAGAAACTTGGAAGTGTCTAGAAGTCTAACCTAAAAAAAACAAGAAGACGAGAAACGCTTTTTTTGGTCATTATATAGTTCTTACACCCATCATGTGATTGTCCTCAGTAGTCTGAATCACAGTTGGTTTAACATTTAGCATTGACAGTAAGTGGCCGAGGACTAAAAGCAAAGGATGCCTTTCCCGGCGAGGCACACCATTTAGGAATCACACCGGGTTTCCCCTACAGTTATTTATCTGCGGGGCTCACGCAGAGGCAGCCTGGCTTCCTACGAGAGAGGGAGCGAGCCACACGCAGGCATTTCGAGAGAGTTTTAAGCTTCAAAGTGTCACTCCCCCGCGGAGGCTCTCCCACCGCCGCCGCCGCCGCGTTGTGCCGTGCCGTGCATGCCTCTTCCACTTCCTGCTGCAGAGCCAGTTCTGCCGCTTACCTGGGAGAGGCAGGGAGGGTGTCGTAAAAAGAGGAGGAAAAAAAAAAGCCCGGCCAGCCCAAGGAAGGAGACCCAGGCACGCCAAGAGAGCGACGGGGTGTGCAGGAGGCACGCCAGCCCTCTCGCTTTCCTCGGTCAGCTCAGCACGAGCCTCCCTCACCCGCAAGGTAAGAAGTGATAGAGATGCTGCCTTTCTCGGTCCCTGTTTGTAATTAGCTGTTGACCCACTTCTGGCTCTCGGTGGGGGTTTTTTCCCTCAAATTGTTGCCTCGCTCCCTTTCCCCCCCTCCTCTCGTGTAATGATAGCCTGAGTTTCACAGATGGTTACAACATGTTTCAGCCATTTCACTGCAGTTTTGTTGGTTTTTTTTTTAAATCAGGAGGGGTTTGGGGTAAACACTGGGAACGGACACGCCTGGTGTCGAAATGTTGTCCTGCCTATTTACATAGCTGCCTGGCAATGCCTGGCAGCCAGGCCTGATCCCACTCCCGCCCTGCGCGGCTGTGCAAGCTCACGGTGGCTTGTCGGCCAATGGCCCTCTCCTCTCCTCTCCTCTCCTCTCCTCTCCTCTCCTCTCCTCTCCTCTCCTCTCCTCTCCTCTCCTCTCCTCTCCTCTCCTCTCCTCTCCTCTCCTCTCCTCTCCTCTCCTCTCCTCTCCTCTCCTCTCCTCTCCTCTCCTCTCCTCTCCTCTCCTCTCCTCTCCTCTCCTCTCCTCTCCTCTCCTCTCCTCTCCCTGCAGTGCTGCTGAAGGCTGCGTAGGACAGATCCATGGACCTGGAGAGGGAGAGGTGGCTGGAAAGCATGAAGAAAACGGGATTGTAGACCCCATTTGCACCGTTCTCCCTGGCATTGGTATGGAAACAGTGGGAGCGAGCCAGTAGTATTTCTTTTTAATTAGAATAAAATCAGCCATATAAAACCTGTTCCCATGTCACACAGTAACTGATTGTTTCAGGATGCAGGTTTTGTAGGGCTAGCGTTGGCTGGCAACGAGAACAGCAGGTCTGGCTTACCGGTCCTTGAACGCTGCCGGCAACCACCAGACCAGAAATTCCCATTTCCTGCAAGCCCTGGGTGGGTTCAAGGCCTGGTCTGGCCTTGTCCATGCCATCTCGGGTGGGCGGCGATGCCCCACCACCACCAGACGGGGCTGTGAGCCCCGCAGCGGGTGATGCCAAAGATGGCGGCGCGAGGGGCGCAGGCGGCAGGGCCGGTGCCCCGGCGCGTGCTCACCAATGCCGCCGGCTGCTGGCAAGCATCTGCCAATTGTGCTGCTGCCTGCCATGCCGTCAGCCCCTGAGGTCAGGCTTGCTCTTGCTGAGCACCGTCAATGTCTTGAAGCATGCTGTATTTTTTTTTTTTATGGGGTTGGGTTTTCTTTTTGTCTTTCTAAGGCAGAAAACAAGGCATGTGCAATTATGGCATTCGTGTCTGTCAGTGCCCTCCACCCCCAGCAGTGGCTTTTGAAGTTTGGCAGAGGGTACACGTTTGAAAGATATATACATTTCTGCACGTTTCATGAAAGCAAGTGAGCAAGGCTGTTCTCACGCCAGCTGAGGGAGACACGTCAGGTCCCCCAGGCTTCCCTGCACCCTCCCACCACCCACGCGCCCCGCAGCCCTCGCGCTGCAGAGCAGGGAGAGCGGTTAGGGACGAGGGATACATCAGCCCCATGAAATGCTGGAGGTTTTCCCTTATTAGGAACCGGAGGTTCCAATGTAAGGCATGAAGCTATAGGAAAGCAGGCTGGGGATATTTACACATCTCGGGGCGGTCCCTGTCCAAACCCACTCAGCCAGCCCCAATTTTGTGCCAGGATTTTCGGATGTACTGGGGCCGTGGGCTATCCCAGTTTGGGGGTTATTCAGTGCCTATGGGAGTTTTATCAGCATCAGAAATGGGTGGGAAGTAATCTCTGGAAAACAAACACATTTTTAAGGATACTTAAGATCATTGCAGACATTTTCATATTTCACAAACATTAGAAAACTGGCAGGGAATGCCTATATGTGAGATGCCTGTTTGGATCCTGCTTGAGGGTGTTGCATTTCTAGTTTCTTACTGCTTATTGCCTAGCATTCCTATTACATGCATATCGAAGTCTACACTAAAGAGGCAAAAAATATCAGGTCTACGCTAGCCTTTGCACCATGGATTGCCCAGTGAAGCAACATTAGTGCTGCAAAAGGGAATGTGATGTTTGCCATGCAGGGAGGGTTGGAAGTATGTTCTCCTGTTCTCCTGGTGTATGTAGACTTTCATGCCAAGGCTGCAGAAAATATGTAAGAGCAACCACATAGTCAGTGTGGAAGAGGAACATTGTTTTCATATTCTTTTTCTACTATTTCCAGAAGTCATAAAAATAAACATTACCTGCCCTAGAGGGCTTAAAATCTGGGCTAGCAACATGACACATTGCCTTAGTCTTCGCTGTGGAGGGTAGCCAAGGGAGAGGGTAAGCGTCCGTGATGACAGCAGCCAAAATGCTTCACCATGAAGTGTGAAACTCTGGAGCTTGGATTTCCTCGGCTGTGTTTATTTAGGTTGTAGACCCAAAACAGTTCCCACATTTGCACTTGCTCTTTCTAAAAGGATTTGTCTCTGGGTTTTTTTTTGAGGAAAGTTGTGTCTAGTGTTTCTGTAGAGAAAGCTGCACTTAAGGCAAGTGTACTTACACACTTATGCTTATCTGATCCCATGGCTACAGCATTTGTTGCAATCTCAACGTGTGCATCCTCACAGCAGCTTGCAAATTCTGCATCTGCTTACTCCCATCCTGCAGATGGGTATCAGCAGCACCAGGGAGCTTAAAGGATTCAGCCAGTGTGCACAGAATTATTTGGAAATCAAGAAATCCCTGTCCATCCCCACCCCTTGTGATCTCAGCTTTGCCTTAATCTATACCCGTGCCAGTTCAGAAATGTCATGACTGGAGAATAAAAAACCCTTCCCTTGTGTGTTGTGTGCCAAGGAAGGCAAGGTTTCTTTCTCATCCTAATATTTTCTTTTTTAACAATGTAGACAAATATAACTTTGATCAGAAGAGCAAAGATATTTCCCCCCTCTCCGGAAGTGACGGGGAGCACAGCTATGCTCGCGTTGCAGTCTGTCTTCTGTTTCTTCATGACAGAAGTTTTCTAATCAAAAGCAGATAGATGGTTAGTCTGTGTTTTGGGTCAGTGCATCCTGACAAGTCTTCGTGCTGGGAAACAGATGAAATACCTGACAGATTTCACAATCAGCCGCAAGAAAACTGCACAGATGAGCCCGAGCCCAACACCCTTCCTCTCCCTGGCCAGCCCCTTGCCTCCGTCGGATGTTTTTTAGGGGAGTTTGGCCCTTGCTTCAAACTTGGGTGCTCAGGCTCATCTCTACCGACCTGCAGAAGAATTTGTTCCCCTTCATTTATGCTCTCCCTGCAGCTTCCCAGGAGCGGCCATCCCCAGCAGCGGCCAGCCGTGAGCAGGAGGGCTGGGCAGCCTCCCTCCTGGCTCCCTGGCAGGAGCAGTGGAAGAACCTCTCCAGGTGTGGGAAGCCTCACAAGGGAGCTAGGATGGGGTTTCTTCCCAGGAGCTTGGGTCACTGAGCACCCACCCGGGAAGGTTATTTGCTGAATTAATGCACGTTACAGAACCGGGTGTATGAGCAGAGGAAGGAAGAGAAGGAGAAAGGGTGGTTTAAGGAGTTCCCTCAACGTTTTTGAGAGAAGTCCAGGCCTGGCTACTCTGTCCCTTTAGGAAGGGCCTCTTCACTTTATTACAAGCAGGAATATATGCAACAGCTCCAGCTGGTTATCAGTAATCTCCTGCATAGTCATAGGTGCAGGGGGGATATTAAATTCTCGAAGCTTTCTGGCAATATGATCTGACTTGAAGCTGCAGTGTCTTTGGAAATGAGATTGGGCACGATCTATGCTCTCCAGCGGTCTCCGTGCCAGAAAAGGGATCAGGCTACAGGTTTCTGAGGGTATTTCAATATGCTGAAGCATTCCTTTACCCTAATTCTTCAACATGGGAGACCTAAGCCAGTGATTTTTCTGTCCTATGCATAACTATACTCACAGGATAAGCTAACTAGAAAAGTCAAAGGAAACCTAATGAAACTCTGCGGCACGAGGCAACATAAAATACCGGGATAATGGGCTCAGCGTTGGGTCTTTTTCCAAAAGCCGAGGATCTTCAGCAGAGCAGAAACAACGTCCTGAAGCACTGCTGTTGGAGAAGGATGTTTCTGAATCATCTGTAACATTTCCAGCAGCGTGGGGATTTCTCTCGGGAATTCCCATCCACATACCATTGCCAGCATTGCTCAAAAAGTGTTCAGCATGTCCTGGGGTTAATTTGTCCTCAGGGCCATCTTTACAGACAGAGCTCTGCTGTTGTAACAGCTTCTCTCTCCAATCAGAGCTACTGAGGGAGGAGGAGGATGAAGTCACTTTTCCTCCTTTTTAATGATGTGTCTGTTTTAACAGCAAAGCCCTCGGCCCCTCGGTGCCTCCTACCTCGGCTCCGTGGGAGGAGGGGCTGTGCGCGGGTATCAAAGCTCAGCTTTCGCTGCTCAGCTATCCTGCAGCAGGGTCTAAGCAAAATCATATTTTAAAAAACTAGAAGCTTTTGCAGGTAAAAATACAAGTGATGGAATCAGGTCTCTCTTCTGTCTGACCAATTATTTTTACTCAGATATTTGAAGCAATTTTCATAATGTTTAGCTCATGTTACACAGGAAGGAAATAAGGCTGCCATTTAAATATTAAGTTGATTTGAGAGATAAAGAGGCATTTATCCTTTCAGAGGGCTAAACTAATAGGAAAGACATTTTTAAACTATTCTGAAGTAAGCCATTTGAAGAGTTTGGTAGCTGATCATTTGCAATACAGCTTAATAAAGTCTTAATATCCCTCCTCCAAAGGCAGAGTAAATACACTAAATAACAAACTTGAAGAAAAGAAGTCTGAATTTTTTCTGCCCATGTTGTGCCTTTCATTAGGTTCACACAGTCTGTGCATGATCCATTTCACAGATAGCCAGATGTTAGCAATGGAACTAAAAAAAAAAAAAACCAAACACTTTGGAGGTTGTAGCCTCCAAAGGAATTTAGTAACTTTTAAATCCCATCTGACACCCGATCCAAAACCTACTGAAGTCAATAGAGAGATTCCCATTTACTTCACTGAATTCTGGACCGAGTTCTCGGTTTCTCCGCAGAAATCTGTTCTTCTTGTCACGGTGCTAAACGAAAGGCTGTTGAATATAGAGGATCTGAATTCAAAGTGTTTTCTAACATTTTGATCTGACTACTTCAGAGACCATCAAAGAAGCGTCTTAGTGTATGAGGCATTACAATTTTTTTTCTGAAAAGCCATGTTTGGGTGTTTGCTAAGTATTATATCTAATGGGAGAAAGACCAAAAACTTTGGAGGTTGTAGCCTCCAAAGGAATTTAGTAACTTTTAAATCCCATCTGACACCCGATCCAAAACCTACTGAAGTCAATAGAGAGATTCCCATTTACTTCACTGAATTCTGGACCGAGTTCTCGGTTTCTCCGCAGAAATCTGTTCTTCTTGTCACGGTGCTAAACGAAAGGCTGTTGAATATAGAGGATCTGAATTCAAAGTGTTTTCTAACATTTTGATCTGACTACTTCAGAGACCATCAAAGAAGCGTCTTAGTGTATGAGGCATTACAATTTTTTTTCTGAAAAGCCATGTTTGGGTGTTTGCTAAGTATTATATCTAATGGGAGGGATGCTCAGACAACGCATGTGGCTAAAGAGGTGAAGCTGTACCCCTGTACCCCACAGCTGAGCTTGTGCTTTGTGAACACCAGGGTGAATTTTGCACAAGGAACCAGGTCACTGGAGATGCTCAGTGGGGGGAGTAAGAGTTTGCAATGTGATTTGTGCTCCTTGAGTGCACGTCATTCAGCTTACAAGCAAACGGAGATACCCACAAGTCGAAGCATGTCTGAGCAGGCACTTTGAGGCCAGATGATCCAAGGGTCAGCTTTACAAAGCTGTTGAGATGAGCAAAAGGCAGATGCCTTGCAGGGAGTTTGACACCTAACCTTCACAGGTGCTTCTCTGAGTCTGGCAGGGGACCACTCGGCAGCTTTACACCCTGATTCGTGTAAATCTGACTTTGCGCTGTACTGTCCTGGTGAGTCACCACCACAGGGCAGTCATCATTTAAACTGAAACTGCCACCTGACCAAAGGTCCCAGGCAAAGGACGTTTTGCCACCGCCGCACAGGAGAGCGCAGTGCAAGTCCCTGTCACGGTCCTGTGCTGATTATGAGAGCTTGAGGTTTTCCCTTTCCCATCGCATCCGTTATGACTGTCAGAGAACCGTGACTCAGCGAGCAGGGCCGTTGGTAGTGACGTGGCGTAGAGGAAAGAAAGGGATGCAAACCCCAGGGAGAGATGCGTGATGGTGGTGAGCTGCCCGTCAGGATTTCAAGCCTGGGTGCTTGTATGGGAAGGAGCTGGTTTGGCACCGACCCAGCGCTCTCACACAGGGGGATGCAGCTGTCAGAGCAGCAGCGTGTTCACTGTGTTGGTGCAACTAATAGCTGCTCCGAGGACTTGCCTACATGGGCAAATTTACCAGCATGATTATCCCACTGTAATTATCCCAGGATAACTCTCCCTGTGGACGTGCTTATTACAACATAGGATATGTATGAATATATGGTAAATCTTCTGCATAGATGGGTTTTAAGTTACACAGAGGAGGAATATTTACATTGCAGCCCAGCAGCAAAGCACAGTTTTTACCCTACTTCTCAGCAAATGTTACACCCAGAATTTTCTATGCCAGAGGTACTTTCAGGGGAAAATACCTGTCATTTGATCTGATCAGCATGAATGTAAAGCCTCACTCTTGCCTTGTAGCACGGGGCACATCATTTGCTTTTACAGAATCGCTGTGGGAGCCAGGGTAAAGGTTGGGACGCTGCCTTATACCTCTCTGTGATCCTGTTCAACTGTTTTTAATACCGTGGTCATTTGAATATGTTCTTCACTTGACCTTTCTGTACAAGCTACTGTGACTGAAGTTGGGAGAAGTCCTTGGATTGCTAAAAGCTCCTCAAACATGTTGTGATTTTGACTGTCTTTACCAGGCTTTCAAGCCAGATTCTGTTGCCAAACATTGTCATTCCCGTTGCTTGAGTGCTTAGTCCATTCTTCTCTGAGAACTCTCCTACTTGGGATTTTAGCTTCTCCAATGTGATAGAAGGAAAGTGGCTGGGGAAATGATGAGCACAGGGCTTGTTTCTCTCTACTCCACGGTAACAGATAAGATTTGCTGGGAGCAAGCTAATATGCACCCCTGTACAAGAGGATGAAGATGGCTGCACTTCCCGAAGCTCACTCAGCATTCACCCATCACTGCTGCTGTTGTTCTGAGTGAAGGTGGAGCAGAGGCGTCCATCATCAGGGATCGCTTGACTGGGCTAAATTTACTGACAGCACCCCCAAAAGAAAGTGACAATTTTGATGTTTGGGCCCAAGCCCATTCTGAGGGGAGGGAAAAAAAATCCAAACAGTAACTAAAGTGTCTAAAATGTCTTTTAATTTTCAATAATTTGAAATAACAACAGCCATGTGATAATAGGGTGGATGAAGTGGTTTGATAAAATAAGCAGCAACACTTGGAAACAAGTTTTGGAGTTGAAATTACTCAGCTAGGTGTGTGGTGAGGTTCAGATCCGAGGCATCAGTATGAAGCTATTATTAGAAGGTCCAGAGTAAAATACTCGCAAGTGATTGTATTCCCTGGAATATGCCTGAGCCAAACCTCCAGACCTAAGCAGCCTGCTCTTTTGTCAGGTGCAAAAATTACCTCTGAGAGACAGTTCATGTGCTTTTCCCCCCTCCAGTCTCAGCAGGAACAGTCAGTTCCAGAAATCCCATAAAAGCGTCTGTTTTGCACAATGCGATTTCCAGAACTCTAACCGGTACTTCTTTCCCAGTCTCTGAGAGAGAGTTATTTTAGGATTATTGCCTGTGTGAAACTGTACCATGTTCACAAGAGTCCTTTCTCTTGTTTTCCAGTTTGCTGGAAAATCCTGGCCTTGCAGTAAGGCAGCTGACTCTCATTTCCGGTGCGACTACAAAACTTGGAAATGGCCTCTGTGTCAGGTTAGTCCAAATTATAACTCTGTGCTAGCCACACTCCAGCTAAGCCTCTACTTTCTTGCTCTGCCAAAATTCAGCCAGACCTTTCTTGCTGTTTTCTGCCTGTCTTTTTAAAAACCATAAAATGATAAAGAATACATATTGCTCTTCAGTATTCCAGCTCACAGTCATTGAGTGACGACTGATGGCAGGCATTTGTCTGTATGGCTGTCTATCTACAGTGTTTCTTCTCCCACTTTTTCAGGCACTTTTGTGGGTCGAAGCATACCAGTCGAAGTGGATGAATCCATGCCGTGGTCCCCCTTTCCCGAACATGTCTTGGAAAAGGCTTTGCAGCCTTCTGGAGAGGATATGGAGGATGAGGAGTCCCAGAGACCATGTGTCACTCGAACACCTCAGCCTGTGGCCGATCCATCATCCCTCTGCAGAGCACCAGCACGTCATCAGTCAGCACTGTCTGTGGAGCCGGACAGCAGCTTGTGGTCAAAATATACCGATCCTGATGGAGATGGACACTTCTGTTCCCCTGGTGAATCAACAGCTGGAGTAGTTCTCTCCAAGATGCATCTTGTAGCTATGGACAAACCAGGCATGCAGCCAAGATTACAGCTTTCAGCTGACACTGGGCACAACTCCAGTAAATCAGAGCAGAGCTTGTCTGACGCTCCCGAGGACTCACTGGAGGAGAGCAGCCAAGGGAGTTCACGGTCACAGCAACCCTCAGGAAACAGACCCCCAGCAGAGATGGGGACTGTGGACACGGGGTACAACTCCCACTCACGAGACATCATGGGCATCAGGCACCTGGAGCCCCCCTTACCACTGGTGTCTGTGGTGAACCCCCAGGACCTCCCAGGACCACTGATCTCCAGAGAGTTTTTTGGACCTGAGCATCAGCAGTGCCCTATATGCCAGCACTTGCCCCATCCCAACGCCTCCTCGCAAGCCCACGGCTGCTTTGGGCACCGCTGCCCAGCAGAGCAGCACCCCCAGGGCCCATGTGAGTAGCACCGCTCACCCCACGGGAGGTTTTCCAGGTGTATCACAGCCATCATTCACCAAGCTGGTGTTTTCCTACTGTACTTAATGGCAACGCACAGCATGCAATTATTAACCTTTTTAAACATCTATTTGCAGTCCATTTTATATTTCCAGATTTTTGGGTTATGTAGCTGGACTCACTGATGCAGAACCTCTGAGCCAGATAAAAAGTTAAAGAGGTCACAATTACTCATCAAATGAAGGCTAATGATTTTGCCTAGAAACTAGCCTCTGTGGGTCACGCTGAGCATACACAGCCTTCTCCCTGCTGTTATTTCATATTCTAGTCATTTCCTTCCTCCTTGCATCAGTCATTCAGCAACCTCCTATACCGACTTAATTTCTGTTGTTTTCATAGATTTCCTTGCTCCCACTTGGATCCCCAAAGTTGAGAAATTCCTGCCAGAATCAGGGTGGGAGGTTACCCTTGATCTCTGTAAATAGTATCTCCCAGCATTATGACCAAACTCACCCATGTGTTTTATTTCTATGTGAAAAGAGCGTGACATACACCGTCCTCATTTTTTTTCTGTTGTCAGCTGAAATGAAAGCTCATTACTTAAAATGGAGCCCTCTCAGCTGCTGGTGATTGTATCACTGAATGCTGATGTGACTCCGTCAATATGGGTGTTTTGGCTCTTGGAGACGACGACGTAGTCTACAGCCTGCTATTAATTAGTATTCCTTTTCAGTCTCTGAGATTTTTATCTGTTATGAAGTGAGCTTTGAACATTCAACAGCAATATCATTGTCTTAATATAATTTATATTACATTAGACTCATGAGACCCCGACCCATTTTGGGCTGGCTTTGTAATAAAAAGCTGTAGGCCTGTTCTGATAACCCTTTTTTTTTTAACCTTCTGTTGACTCCATGGCATTTATATTACATCTGTTTAAGGAGTTTTGTCATTCCAGCAATGTGCTATAATTAGGTATATGAAAGAGAGAGGTATATGAAATTAGGTATATGAAATTAGGTATATGAAAGAGAGCCTCAGTTTTCACCTCTGATCTTGGGACTTTGTAAAGGGGAAGGGGCTACAGATGGACTTTCATCAATGTCTACAGCTGAACACTTGCAAAACGTCCTCTGGTTTTCTTTTTGTACCTTCTCCTTTCAGTTCAGCTTTAAGCAGACAAAGAGCTGGTTGCACAACACCCCTCACTATTTACCTCCTCCACACGCGGGCATCCTGAGAAGTAGGACATTTACTGAATGAGGCCATTTTGTTTTAAAGCAGGAACTCTGAAAGGCTTTCTTTAGAAAAATCACTACCGTTTCAACCATATCCAGAGGGCAAAAAGAATAAAATAAACTCAGATGGCTGGAGCAGATTTGGTTAGGACCAAGAAGCTGGCAACTGTACTCCTGTTTCTCACATGCCCGGTACAGCATAAATCACCTCCTGACAGCTCCTTGCGTTTCAGATAATTGTTGGGCAGTGGCAACCCACAACAAAGCTCTGCAGTTTGTGTGTTGCAACATGCCTCTCCCGGGGAATAGCAATAGCCTGGATTGTGCCTGTAGGCTCTAAGCTGGCTCCGGACACCTGCTATTTGAGATACAACAGCAAAACTGCTTCTGAAGTCAAAGAAATCCTCGCAGCAATGCTATGTGCCCAGGGACCATTATTTCAGGTATTTATATATGAGAGCTGTTGGTGTGTGTGGGCACACACGCTTGGCCATGCTGTGCTTCTGAACAGCAGTGGCTGCATCCATTAAAATATTGTAGCATCAGACAGATCCGAAGGAAGCTGATGAAACATTGGCCTAAAAACCTGTAAACCAAACTGAATCTCCTGGAGCCCTGCCACCTTCCCTAGAGCTGGTCATGAGGAACCCATGAGAAGACCATATTTACTTCCAGCCTCTTTCACCCTGTCCTGTTGCAAATAGTTAAGAGGGGGAGCAGGAAAATGTCCTAAAACAATCTCAACAAATATGATGTTGCCGAATCACAATTTCATCAGGAATCTCTTTGCAGTCGTGGGGTTGGTTGGGGTTTTTTTTAAGTATCGGTTCCTGGAATTGGACTATTTCATCAAAGCTTTGTTTTCTTTCTTTTTTTTCCTTCCCCTTTTAAAAAAATGTTAGTCCTCATGGCTGCTAGGAAAAGGAAAGCATGACCCCAAAATAGCTAAAAGGATTTTAAAAAACAGTCGGGGAGGGGGAAGTGTTTGAGTACTGCAACTTTCAGAGCCAGCTCATAACACCATAATCATGCAGCGCTAATAAGCCCTGCCAGGCTGGACTTTGATCTGTGCACAGCAGCTTGAGAGTGTGCAGAGCTGCTGCCCAATGAAAACTGCAAGCAGAAAGACTGGGAAAAAAAAAAGTTTTCCCCATTTGGGAAACAAACAGCTTACATTGCTTTCTCTTTCAGTTTATGCCAACAGTTCCACTGTACGTTAGTTATTAACGTTTAATGTTAGTTATTAAACAGCATTACATGTGCGCGGCCAACAACAGTAAGATTTTCCAGAATTACATGAGCAGAATTGTCACTTTGGGCTTCCCCTGCAGCCTCCTGGATGGCAACAGGAGCAGCAGCAAGGCCTTAAAAGGTCACTTAGGCAGAAAATTCATACAGGGTGAAGTAACAAACCAAAAGAATTTTTTTTTCTCTTTTCATTTACAATAATCGCAGTCTGTTTAGCCTTAGTGTTGCAAACTGATTTGTTCCAGGATTTTGCATCTGCTTTCATGAGAACGTTGGGATGATTCCTTTTTGCAAGTTATTGCCAAAAAGACATTAAAAAAAAAAAAAACAACAAAAAACGCTGAGGCATGGTAAGTGCAGGGACAAAGCAGCCCTGAATGTTTAACTGTCAGTTGTTCCAACAGCCCAGCCCAGGGCACGGATCTGAACCGTGTCGTACGTGAACGGGAAAAAGGCAACTACAGACTGTGAAACGTTCCTTAATCTGGCTTCTTTCAGCCCGAGATACCTGCAAATGCCTCCAAACTGCTCAGTTTCCCTAGACATGAAGGAGGGCATGCCTGGAAAGGAATAAACACAAACTGAGGCAAAAATGTATTGGCTGAAATTATAGTTGCTGCCTTTATTTTCTCACCCTCCCAGATGGCAGAGCTCCTTACCAACATTTTGCACAAACATCACAACCACTTCCTCCTGTTCCTGGACCTTGCATGAGAGTTATCCGCCCGGCCCAGCAAGTCATCCCAAATTACTCAAATCTTCGTGCTCCCAAGGGCACCGGAGACCGACCACCCCAGAGGACATGCTCCTCCCCTGGTCCTCCTCGATTCCCGTAAGTACGCCTCGGGGGGGGGGGGGGGGGGGGGCTGTGCACAGTGGAAGCTCCTCTGATCTGATTTTGTGGGCTTTCAACCAGTAATTCTGAAGCCTTGTTAGCGTGCCTGGGCTGCAGGGGTACATGCGAGATGCTGGGTAGTTTTGTTTATTTGCTATTTTACACCCAGCAGGGACCTGACCTTACCCTAGAGAACTTCAAAGCCAGATACCTGATATGTTGTTACAGTGCACCCTGAAATGCACGCATTAAGGAAGATAAACACTTGAAGGTTAAAGGGATGAGGGGTTGAAAAATATCTCAGTTGAAACCTTAGAGCTCTCCTGCTCGAGAGCAAAGGTCAATTCGGTGGCTCACTGCGGTCTTCAGCTTTACGCTGTACCAGCCTGGGACGCCTCAGTCATTGGCTGCCCGTGATTTCCTTCTTATCTCTTCTGTAGTGCAGAGAAAACGGGAGAAAATCTCATCCATCACTGATATATGTCTACATTGCAGTTTGCAGCCTTTTCTATGATTTTTCATGTAGTAATAAAACAACACGTCTAGCACTTTTCATCCAGGGCTTTTTGACTGGTTTTCAAATATTAATTTGCCAGGCCTTATATCTCCCTCCTTATATGTATGTCATTAACAGATGGGAAATACTATCCATGCAGGAATTTCTCCAGACTCAGCTACCTGAAGACAAATTGAAGCTTCAGGTATTGAGGGCATCTGAAATCACACCGTTTTTATTTAAGTGCCACAGTACTTTTAGAGGTGCTAAACTTACAGGCATCTGTGTTTGAAAATGTCTGCTTACGTGACATGGTCTTGGCAGAAAACTGGGAGAACAGGCAGGACAAAAGAGGGCGGCCGACTGAAATACCGCACTGCTCTGGCCTGTGAAAAGTTAGGGGCTGTGACAGAAAAGAGACAGCAAGATAAGGCAGTACCTGCAGCAGAGATAATTGCACTGACGAGTATGTATGAAAATGTAAAAATACTGAGGAATAGTGGGTATCCTTTGCAGTAGTAAAATTTTAAAACGGACTCCTAATTTTTGGCGCGTTTGTTAGATAAGATGAAGTTTTGGGAAGATCTGTAAATTAACCACAGAGGAGTTTTTTGTGGCTGTTGATGAGGGATGTGTTGCTTTTCTTGGTATTTTCTTCTGCTAAAAGAAATCCAGAATATGCGGGGTCTATCCTGTGGCTGCATGGCTGGTGTTTGCATGCCGATTCAGGAACGGCAGTTATATGTTGGTAATATTTGCCTATAGAGTATTTGGTAACAGAAAACATCTGTACCGAAATGAATAAACCAAATCTTAATGTGACAACAGAAAACATGCTGTGACCAGCCTGTCATCATTCATTTAAGGAAGGCAAAGGAAAAAAAAGAGAGTGGGCTTGATTGACTAAACATCACTGCTCTGTGGGGAAAAGCTCTCAGAGAAACCTAACACTTGTCCAACAGACTCAGCCCAGCAGATTCAAAGCACACCTCATGTAAAAATCTGTACAGGTTCCCCTTCCTATTGACTTCAACTGTAAACCCAAAGTGGAGTAGGACAAGAACTGCTAAGCTTCCTAAAATCATCCCTTTCTCTCTGTTTGTTACAGCGGAGAAGACGTTAGGCAAGGTTATTGCGGGTCCGGAGCGCAGATACCTAACATGAGAAATCCTCATTGGTCTGCTGCTGCTGGACAAGAAATTAACTTTGTTCCCTTTAGCAAAACTTTGAGTCTTGTCCAAAACTGGAGATCCTCCAAGCTGCGCCAGAGCTGGAGTGCCCTGTACCCCCATTTTTCCCAATCCCCACCTTGCGCTGTGCCTCCTGTGCCGGACAGGACATCCTGAGAGCACCTGAGGTGCCATGAAGTACCTTTTAGACAATGGGAAGAGGTTACCCAAATGCCATCCTGCTCCCACACATGCGTAACAATATCCACAGCACAGCACTATTTCTCGCTCAGAAACGGCCTTTGCTTCTGCTAATTGCGAACTGAACGGCTTTCAGCTATGAGGTGCATTTACTTCCTGTTGCTAACGTTGCTTCTGCAATAAACTGCGTCTTGTGGTAGACTGTCACCAAGGTATCCGTTCAAAAGATGCTGTAATAACTAAGTAGTAATGCCGAGCTGAGCATTTCTACAAGAACTTTTCCTAGCTAATATGCAGATAAAGTTCTTAGTGTGTTATTAAAAGAAAAAAAATCTGAATTTTACCTGAAAAGAAATATTTTTAAAATCCTCACTTGCTTTTTTTTGTAGAAACCAGCTATACAACCAGCTACCTAATGGTCAGCTTCCCCCCAAGGCATGTGGCCTGGATGAAGCATGCTGTTGTCCTTCTGACAATTTTCCATCTCCAGCTGCCGTCCCGAGACCTCTCAGTAACCCTGCAGCCAAGGGAACGCTGAGAACCAGCAATTTGCCAGAGGAGTTGCGTAAGTGGTTAGCAAATTTGTTCTGTGTAAGATTTTAGAGCGCAGCCTGACAGCTTTAGGTGGGAAAGCTCCGGGGGAGAGAAGGCAGGGGGAACAACATTAAGACACAAAGACAACAAGAAAAGAAAATACTGAGTGTCATCACATCTGTAGGGTGTGAGCATTTGTGTTTGGTGGGATGGAATTATCCCCTTGAATCCTGAAAACATAATTGTCATTAATTGCTTGTTATTTTGTTTACAAAAAACAAATACCATTTAGATTGTTTTCATGACTTCTTGCTAAACAGGATGTCCCTTTGAGGCAGGAGGCACTGAAGCTTACAGTAAAAGACTAATAACAAACAAAGCCCTAGGGATAAAGAGTTTCTGCCAGTCCCAAACCAGACAAAAATGTCGCCTCTCAACCTCAGTTTCTCCCTGACCTGGTGAGTTGAGAGGACTTTGGGTCAGGAGCCCACGGTGAGGGCTGAGGGTGGCACAGGCGCTGGCTGAGGTGCTTCCCCTGCTGCTGGCCCCTGAAATGCTTTCACCCTTCAACTCTTACGGGAAAGTTACGTTTCAGAAAACTGGCTTCCTTCTTAATGCCGTGCTGGCTAGCAGGTGAGGTATACCATGGCTAAGAACCCTCCACATCTCTCCTGAGGTTTTGATTTTTCCTTTGTTCTTCGTTTTGTGCATCATCTTTCAAATCCAGACAGTTGCATCCCTCTGACCTGTAGGAGTGAGTTAGGGCACCACACACCACTCTTGGATAAACCCTACTTTATCAGTTAGTGTGTCCTAGATACAGGAATTACTGGATAAAACTGTGTCATTTGTGATACACACACAGCTGGATTAGATTAGCCAGCTGGTTTACCCCGACCTGCAAATCCATGATTCTTTAATTAGTAAGAAAACTCCTTCCATGATGGCAAGGGCAGCTGAAGACATTGTTGTCATCAGCCATCCATCCTGCCCACACAGGGGGTTAATGCTGCTGTAAGGTGAGGCAGTACGGCATGCGTAGGGCTCCTCCGGCTCTCAGTCAGATCAATGAGGTCTGGCGGAAAGGTGTGCTGGTTGCAGCCGGTGCAGGTGGCACCAGCTCTGGGTGAGGGCCCAGCCTCGCATATGGCAAAGGGCTGGGGAAGAAGCAGCTCTGGCAGTAGGGCAGGGCGAGCAGCAGAGCGATGTTACTCTCTCCAGCTTCCACAGGGGCGCTTGCCAGCGGCAAGGCAGTAGGAGCTTAAATCTAGACCAAGGTTTCTGGATGGAGGGTTGAGTTCAACACCAAGCCACTGCGCTATCCCACATCCATTTTGTAAATAATCCGAAGAGACGTAGGTGGGCAGAACCCACAGCACGGTGGAAAAGAAGGGCTGTAAAAGTTTCATCCTCCAAATGGTGTATTTTAATGCATCGCATATTCATACACACCCTCTCTCCTAGGCAAGGTCTTTATAACCTATTCGGTGGACACAGCGGTGGAGGTTATGAAATTTGTGAACTTCCTGCTTGTAAATGGATTTCAGACTGCTGTAAGTATTCCTTTCGGAGAAAATGACTTTCAACCAGGGGAGAAAAGAGACATTTTTTAAAAAAGTAGAGGCAATACACAGTCCATTTAAATGTTTTTCTGTTTATCATCGCATTTTGTAGGTTAAAGAAGATACAAATAGAACGAACTAGCCTTGGCTTTAAAAGTTGTAACTTAAACAATTTGCCTTTTCGTTTGCTCATATTTTAACTGAATTTTGTGCTTTAAAATGTGTTTTAATAATGACCCTGGAAAATTCCATTTAGTGACACCAGATACCAGATGGGCAATAGTATGAGGTTTCATGAGCTATTCTATTAACATTGTCTCATATTTGATCTGTAATACTGATATTAAAAAAGGTCAATTTTCATGTTCATCCCATCCCAGCTTTTTTTCTGCAATGCTATTACATTTTTGGTTCTTCAGATGTGAATACCTTTCTGCTCAAAAATGATCTAAAATCAGTGTATTTCACACAGCCTAATGAAACAGCCCATCTCATGGTTTCATTTGCTTTGTTATACTTTTAAAAGAGATCCTAAAATCACTGGCCTGAAAAAATCTGTCCTACTGTCTAATCCCATAAGCCATCCAGATTTTCACTTAACTTCTTATGAGTTTGCTTCATCATAATGAATTCCCTCTCTAAGGGAACCATCCACAGAGGCTCTCGGATTCGGTGTTCATCAAAATCTTGATTCATATTTTCTTGTTTCAAGTGCATGTGCTACCTGACCGCTCAAACTTCACTCTTTGGCTTCAATTCAGGAAAGCATTTAAGCAAGTGGCTATCCTTAAACTGAATGAAACTCAGTGGGGGGCTTTGCACACACTTATTTATTTTCATGAATCAAAGATTTTTTTCCAGAGACTGCAATTATACTTCTCTCCAGCAGTTCTGTACGATGAGCAATTCATAAGGAAGCTTTGGGCACCATAGCGGTACAGAGTAGAAGGCTCATTAATAGCACCTTTGCTGGACAGGCAATTCTTGGAGCATGCTGCAGAATAACATACATAGCAAAATGGCCCCAAAGCAGGGAAACAATTATGTTCTCTACTTTCAAAAAGGGAAAAAGAAAGACTTGAGAGCAGAACATGACTCTTCTGCCAAAAACTTGGAGAAGTTAATACTTACTTCATTGGTCACGGTCATTGATTGCCAGTTTCTGGGCTTACTGAGCATGCAGGGAATTGAGCAGTGTTGGTCGTATTCAGTCCTATGAAGTCCTCCACTTCTCTGCTGTTGCTGAAGTCTGGGTTACTGCATCCAGTATCAGTGACCTGTCTGACTTCCCACCACACACCCTGAAAATTTAGTTCAATATGAAGCTAAAACTTGGCACTCAGTGTATACTCTTGCAGCCAGAAAATAGCGGACATTTGCAGCTAATCAGATAGAGAAGGCAGGCAGCCATCCACCTTCTCGCGGTGTTTAGAGGCAAAAAAGCCAGTCTGCAAACATTGAATATCTAACATTCACCATCAGTGGTTGTTCCTTGTTCTGATGAGCAAAAATGCCTGGGAGTTGGGAGCTGGCAGGGCAGGGCAGCCAGTCGAATGGCCAGCTGAGCGGGAGCCCAGTGGTGTGCCTGCAGCAGCCCCTCTCCACCTGCCTGGGGCACCTATCCAGCTTGACCCCGGACTGCAGGAAAAGGGGAGAAGTTGTGCATGCGTGTGTGTCTCTGTGTGTGTGTGTCTCTGTGTGTGTCTGTGTGTGTGTGTGTGTGATGTTTCTTTCCTAAGGGAATTAATCAGGCATGTTAGAAACTAGGGAAAAGAGCAGGCGCCTTTTCAGTGCCACCAAATGGGGAGGACAGGCGAAAGGATGCTCACCACAGACTTTCATTCTCTTGCAGATTGATATATTTGAGGACACGGTACGAGGTATTGACATCATTAAGTGGATGGAGCGCTACCTAGGTGATGTATGTAAAAGCAATTTAACCTCGTTCATGGCAGAGGTGACCTGAGGAAAATGGCTGAATTATTCTAACAGCAACAGGAGCAGAATCAAAATGCAAGATCCTACTATCGCCTTCCCTGCCTCTACAGAAATGGCAGAGGCCTTGCAGCGAGAGCATAGGCAAATCTCACTCACTTCTGCATCTTATGTTCCCAAAGCTCTTTCTTTAAGAAATGAAGTGCTAATCCTGGCATTCCTGCCAAATTCCAATGCTGGCTGTTACATTCAGCCTGAAGCTGCCATTGGACAAGTTGCTCCTCCATCTCATTTTTAAATAGTGGGGTTTAGCTATGCTTGGTTAAAATGCTAGCTGTATTTCATCCCAGGCTGCATAGTAGTGGCTGATGTTCATCCTGTTTCTCACCTGTAGCCTTTATGTTGCTATCTAAAACACTGAAGGGTTCTTCTGGATAAACCATCCTATATGTAAAATGGAAATTGATATTCTGTTAGTCGGATAGATTTGCTCTCATCACTTTGTATATATCTAAGCGGTAAAATAGAGATTCATATTACTGCCAGTGCAGTCCCCCGCAGCAACAACTTCCTCTGAAGTTCAGCTGAGCAGTGAGTGCACATCTCCTTTAGGATCAAGCCAAGTGGTCCCATTATACCAGCACAGCTGGACACAAACTGGCAATTCTGTCACTCAACACATGCCATCATGGGGTGGCTTCCTTTGATTTGTGCCTTGCTGGGTAGCCACTGGGCCTCTGACTCACTCTGGGCAGATCTCCATGGCTCAGGAACAGGATGACAAAGTGGTGGGCTCTCTCCCGCCTGAGCAAGGAAGCTCAACCATCTGAGACAGCACTAGACAGGTTTCCTAAAGGTGGCCAGCAGGACAACTTAGCTCAAGTGCGCTACCACGCAGACGTGGTACTAGTGCATGCAGAGCCAGCTTGGGGCCTCTGCTGCGGCAATGCAGTCATGTCTTTTGGGGCTTTCATCAGGACAATTAGGCTTGGGCTCACTGTGCATAATGGAGGTACTGAAACTAGAAGCCAGGGTGAATTTGCTTTTGCCAAGAACATCATTATCACTTAAAATACAAACTGGCAGATCTCCCTTGGGACTCCTGCACAGTCAGTCGGAGAGACCAGCACGTGCAGAGGGCAATTCCCCATCTCCATATGAGGATCCTTCTCTGACTGCCTGCCCCAGAAATGTCTGTTTTCCTCCATTGACTGTAGAGGTAGTTTCTAACTTCAAAACCTTTACACGTGTGAGGAAGAAGGGACTGCTTGGACACAAGCAGGGGGATGTGTGCAGCTGGGCATGTCTCTGCAAACCCTCAACATCTGTAAGTGCTTACATGCATGTCAGGCACAAGCAAACATAATTCTGGAGTATGTTAAGTCAGTGTACGGGATAATGGCTCCTTACTGTATTTGACCCTGTGGTGGGGCAAATTCCCTTGATATTGCACAGAAGGAAAGAGTTAATTAGGTGCCAGGCTGATTATGAGCCACAGACTTGGAAGCCTTACACAGCCTGATGTGGCGGGGATAAAAGACAGGCCCTAGGTAAATACAAGTAAGGAGGCTTTCATCTGCTGAGCCTCTTCACTAGCCCACCATTAAGGAGGAGAGACGTTTCCCAGATATGAAGGATGGCCCCTCTGTGGAAACCTCAGCTGAGGAGGGGCCTGGGATTAAACAGGTCACAGGCAGGATCCAGGCTGTCCCAGCAAGGTGAGGAGCATTGCCTTCAGCCCACTGCGGCAAGGTGGGACAGAGCTGCTAGGTACCCCTACACCTGCCCAGGCCGTCTGCAACAGCCCACCTCTCTGCACAGCCACCTCTCTGCACACCTTGCCACTAAGGAGATCAGCGAGAAAAGCTGCTGTTTCTACTGCCGAGAGCCCTTGACGTAGACTCCACAGACAACTGCCTTTAGTGGCTTTATGTATAAAAAGCCATAGATGGTTAAATAGATGCACTTTTACATAAGCTGTTGGAAAACATTTAGGTCTGAATTTGAAGATAAAACTTCTCTGTGTATGTACATAGACACGCTACGCTGATAAAAAGTAGCTTTTTATTACAGGGATTCCAACTGTAAACTGGTAGCTGCTCTTGACATTTTGATTTTCTGTATTATGAGATCTCGAGAAATAATGAGGAGAACGAGTGTATGAGTTCTCCTGTATTTCCTGCCAGAATGAATGAGATCCTCTTCTGTTTGCCAAGAACATAAAGATCACTTAAAACACAAACTGGCAGATTTCCGATCTGCCTCTACCAAACACACTGCGTTTCCCAATGTCATAAAAGTGCTTTTCTCCCTAACAGAAGACGGTGATGATAATCATAGCAATCAGTCCAAAATACAAACAGGATGTGGAAGGGGCTGAATCCCAGCTGGACAGGGATGAACATGGCTTACATACTAAATACATCCACAGGATGGTAAGCAAGGACACGCATTTGCTGTTTTACAAAGACTCTGTCTCTTCTTCTCAAAAGACAAATCTGTCTCCAAATGGCAGGTTCTCTGCTTTGTTTTCCCTAATCCCCATAGTTAAACACCCCCCTTTGGAATTCATTAATCCTCCCTCTCATCAGCTCCGTATGCTCATTAACATCTGCTAAGAGGTTCAAGGAAGAAAAATCCTATTAAACATGCTCATCTTATTCCTCCGTATTCTTTATTGTTCTATGGTTTTTCCCCTCCCTCACCTTCTCGAGCCCTTGTTGCCTTGTCATATAGCCCTGAGCACAATCTTATCTAACACTGCCTGACCTTCCTCCCTGTAAACCAGCCCCTATCGCTTCGGCCATCCTGTAACTGAGGTCTTTTTTCAGGCAGCAATAAAGCTGGCTTAAAGGTGGAATTACAAAGCGAAGGCCAGAGCTGCAAAGGGGGGGCTCCTGGGGGTGCAGGGTGGCAGGGGACCAGCGGGGGTCACAGACACCCATCTCTGCAGTTTGTCACAAGACAGCCATTTAGCCCAGAAGAGCCTACAGAGCCATGAAACTCATCTTCTCCCTCAGTTTGCAGTTTGCTGTCTTTCTCACCCTATAACCCATCTGATTCCCCAGTTTGATCCTGCAGTCAAACTTCTCAGAAGCTGTCACCAACAGATGAGCTCTCAGCAGTACTTTGCTGTCCTTACCACCCCCGAGATGCCTGGGTCCGGGGACACAGGGGACACGCTGGGTCCCAGCTCAGACACAGAGCTGGGACACGGGGAACAGGCTGGGTCCTAGCTTGGACATGGAGCTGGCCTCCGGCTGAAATCTTTCACGCTGTTGGAGACTGAACAGGGGCCTTAGTCAAGTCAAGCTTTGTCGGTTCTAGATGGATTTCATGGGATTGCAACTGCAGCTAAACCCACAATTATTTCACACCACAGAACTAAATGCTCAAGAAACGCTGACAGATCTTTCCTGTATCCTTTCTGTAGTAATGAAGAATCAGATTAAGTGCCCAAACAAAATGATACTGAGTCCACCAGCAATAGATCAAATCACTTAACAGAAGAGCAGTTTAAGTAAGCAACAAATGTTTTTACGCATAGGATTCAGACGCATGTGAAGAAAAATTAATGTGTCATTACAATAAATCTGGCAATTTGTTCTATTCTAGATGCAGATCGAGTTTATACAACAAGGAAGTATGAACTTCAGATTCATCCCTGTGCTTTTTCCAAATGCCAAAAAGGTAACATGTGTACATGCACATATTATTTTGATCACAATGCACCAGATGAAATCTTAAAACCCAAACCCTCAAATTCTTGGTTCTTAATATCCCACTAGTAATATTCCAAAGCTACATTTTACATGAAAAGTTTTATAGTTTTATGTACATACAAATAAAAAACATTTCGTCCACAGTATAAATCAGTGCATAAATGTATTTCTGATGATGAATGTATAACTAAAACTTAAATTGTCTTGAGCATTGGAAGAATTTAAATGGAGAGAGACAATCTATCCAGCAAGCATGCTTTTTATATTAACCCTTTAATAATTTTATCCAGATGTAATGCCGATGAGTGAGATGGGAGAGATTTATGACTGATGTGAAGTGAGGATCTGGAAGAGGGTGGGTTGAGAATATAAAAATAAAGAGGATAATAAATATTAAAGTACTAGGCCATTGCTTGAACTTTGATGGGCCCATCAAAGGCAAACTATAAGGTTTTTTAGGACTTGCAATTTCATCTGCCCTCCTTATTGGTTTTGAAGATTCATTTGAGAGTAAGAAATAAGCAATGCAACAGATTCCCGTACCCTTCCTCCTCACGCTGAGAGAATCTCTTGGATTTTTGCAAGGCTGGAAAAGTTAAACGGCTTCAGTTATAATTGAGAAATTGCATTCTTCACCAAACTTAGAATGTATATATTGGATTCGTGTTCACTTTTCGTCGCTAAATGCTGTATGCACTGTTGGGTAGCTGTCATGTTATCCCTAGGTACAGCTGCATTTTGGAAAGGTATGGAAAGATTTTTTATATGTATTTGGGTGCCCAAATTTTGGAACATAAGTCAAGATTTAAACAATATTACCAATGAATGTAGGGCCGTGAAGTCCCACAGCACTTGCGGATTTGAGTGTGATCAAGTTCTTTATTTAAGCACTGACTTAATATAAGCTCAGAAATTTGAAAACATGTCCCTGGGTTTGTAAAGTATGTGAGGTCCTTTGGAATGAATGGTACCTCTGGTATTTCATGTCATTCAGCTCCCTTTCTGAATGATCTCGGTCTGGTACTTGCCTTAAGTGTGAAAAGCTGGGAGACAGCACCGGTGGGAATTGGGCAGACCAAAGGCAGTGAACCGGTCAGCATTTTCAGTCAGTCTTTGCAGCCTGATGTGGGGGGGGAAAGGGCAGGACTCCTCCTAACTTTGGGGGCTCCTTGAGTGCCTGCCACGCAACCAGACCATACAGCCTGCAGCCACTTGGCACCTCAAGGGTTGCAGAGAGAAGTGGCCCAGCAGGCGCTAAAGCAGCCTTTGGACCTTGAGGCAGACACAAGAACAATAAACGGAGGTTAATTTTGGCTGAATCAAAAGACTATTTAGCATACAGCAGTGGCGCCCTCAGACAGTGATCTATAAGGAATTTCCAGGGTTGGTTTATTCAGCTGCTCTTATCAAAGCATCAGGCTCCAGGCAGCCTTCCTGCCCACCCTCTGTAGTCCACATCACCCTTCAGTTCTTCGAGAGGTGCCCTTCTCATCTAAATTATGCAGATCAGCATTTTCTACTGCCATTAAGCTTTGCTCTCTGTCTTCACACATTTCTTTGGTACATCATCTACCTTCATCTAACTAGTTAATGATAATATAACTGAGGACATCATGGGTGGAAGGAGAGCGTCAGAGCCCGAACAAGTTGCAGTAATGAAGTCTGTGGGCAGTCAGAGGAGGTGAGGTACCTGAAAAATGCCACGTATGTACAATTGGATGATGTCGGCGGGCAAATTACTTTCATTTTGTCTTTTTTATACTGTCCTTTACATGTTCAAGTACTGCTGTAGCTGGCAGTGGAAAAGAGCAGGCGAGCAAGGTTTGGAAGGTTTCATTTGGGGACATGGCTATAGATGAGTTAATCTCATAGGAAGCACATCATAAAGCACTGCTGGTATGTGAAAGGTAGTTGACCTCCAATGGGAAGGGATCTATGTGATCCAGAGTGTTCATTAGGAAAGTAAATAATGAGGGAAAAAGCACAACACGCAGTTAAGGTGGAACTGGCATTTCCAGCTTCCCATCGTACATTGCTAAAGGAAAGCTGGGTCTTGCTGGTTCCAGGCTTGCATCAAGCCAGTCCACAGAAATGCGTCCTCCTGATCTGGTCACCCGATGACCAAAGCATTAAGCCATGATTGCTCCATGCTGGAGGCTACCTCTGGCAGAGCGGAGGCAGCCGGAGGGGTGAGGTGAGCAGGGTTGGTGCCAGGGTAGCTGCGAGAGCTGAAACCATGCCCCGCCGACGCGGCCCTGAACACACAGCCCCGCCCTCTGCACTAATGCACTCTGCCCTCTTCCTACCAGTTTGATCCTCAAAGTTATCAAATACTCTCTCTATGGCGTAGCGAGAATTTCCTCTCAGCTTACAGATACAGAGCCGAATAAAAAAAATTAAAAGGGCGGTAACCATTTTCCCATTACTCCCACCCACAATGACAGCCGGTGCCACGTGGCAAGGAGAAGCCTCCTTCTCACTTTCTCTGCTCTCCTTCTGGATCAAAATAGCAGCTATAGTTACCCCTTACCCCTACACATCTCCCTCAAGTTCAAATTATTGCCAGAGTTGATTAGCGTGCAGGTGCTTTTTGCACCGAGTTCATTATGGAGGATATTAAATGAAATTGGCCGCAGGAGCAGTTCTGGAAGAAAGGCGCAGAGCCTGTCTCTGGATGTATAGTGTCTCTCTCATTATATCCCCACTTGCTGGTTTCTTACCTACTATACATTTCGCACACTAATTTCCATCTTTTCAAGCTTAGCTAATGATTTCCCATGTGGACCTATATCAAATGCTTTGCTGAAATACAGGTTGACTGGGTCTACTGCATTTCCTTCCTCCAAAAAATGTAGTCTCTTATTAAAGACAGAGAGAGGGCTCGGTTGGTAAACCCGTGCTGTATTTTATCGCATTTCCTTCTATGGCTCTTACCAAGATTTAATAAAGAAACAAATTTTAGGTAATAAGGGTGTGCACATGCATGCAAACATAGTTATCTTTCTTTCTCCCAGTAACATTTGAATCTCTTGGCCAATTTCAAACAGCTTTGTCAAAGGAGTAAAGTTCACAAAGATTAAAATCCATTCCTATGCGAAAACAGATTTGTAGGTGGAGGCAAGAAATCTTATTCGTGCTCCTACCAAAGCAAATGCTGCAGGATCTTACCCTTGTTGGGCAGTGGGGTATCCACCTGGAAGAGCAACATTTTAAAACCTCCACTTTGAGGAGACCATTCACCAAAGCCTATGCCTTCTCAGCCATTGGAGAAAGCAGAAAGCCAGGCTTGATAGATACCTCTGCCAGTCACCAAGCTGCTTTTTCAGAAGCCTATGTGAGGTCAGACTAATGGGTCTGTAGGCGCCTGGGTCACTTACCTCCTTCTTATACATAAATCCTGTATATCTAACAAAGTGGTCACAACAATTAACACAAATTGCTCCCTAAGCATTGGAAACGATGATTCCTGGTTCCTACAGCCATACAGTCCCAGGAAAAGACAGCCAATCTGAGAAGCATGAGGCTTGGGAATGAAAGATTTGGACAGCAGCTAGGTTGTTTGCTGGCAGGCAGGACATGTGCTGCTCATGCCAGGGCATCCCCTGGCGAGACACCAGAGGCATGGTGCACGCCAGCAGCTTTTTGCTCTGTCCTCTTGGAGCTAGCTCCACTGGCTTGACAGGGACCGTGCTGTTCCTAACAGGGGCCACCTTGGGAAAATACTGCCCTGCTAAATAAGAGGTCCAGGGAGCAAGGGCTGGATGTCTTGACTGCTCATGCTGCTTACCTGATGTCTCACTTTGGCTGTGTTCTGGTGTCTCCAGCAACACCTCTCCAAAAAGAAATCTCCATCTCCACACTGGACATGAACTGGTTTTGGTCAAGGATCAGTCTTTGATCCTCTTTTTATTAGTGGTATGAATATAGCCCTTCACCCCTACACATCCACGCTGTCCATATGGAAACCTCCCAAGGCTGTGGAGACATGGGAACATGAGGTCTGAGCAGGCTCCTCTCCATCAGCCTGCTGTCACTGTCCAGGGCCATGGTGGTCCCATCTTAATGCATTATGTTAATGGGCATTAGCCAACCCCTCTGAAAGGCTGCATCTTTCCCAGATTGCGAGGAGTGGTGGAGGTTTGACCTTGGTAATCTGGAGATGCATTAGCCTCTCCTCGAGCTCAGCATCGGCCTCAGCCTCCTGCTTAGGAGGTGGCCAGGAGACGCCACGCTTGGTGAGGGAAGGTGCAAGGGGAGGGCGGAGGAGGCTACCAGGATGAGAAATGCTCCCCTGTGGTCCTGCTCTTTCTCTATCGATTCTCATCTCAAGGTTGAACACGTTGTGTAGATCCTTCAGCAGCTACTAAGGTGGCAGCCTTTCCCTGGTAGGGGCACTGAAATGTCTCCCTTCTCTTCTCAATGTTTATTTTCACAAGCCTTTAGATGCCTGTCACTGAGATCAGAATCCCTTTGAAACGTGCTGAAATTAGCCAACATGATGGCAGAAAAGAAAGAGAGACAGGCAAGCTGTGAGATCACACCAAGTTCATTTATTTAGGAACCCAAATACAATTCTGAAGCCAAATTAAAATTTCTTGTTGTTACGGGAAGTGCCTAGAACAGACAAAACGAAATCTTGCTTGGCAGGCTCTGATGGAATCTGCAAGGTTCTGGTACAGATTCAGGAGGATTTATGGGATTTCGCTTTTTTTTTCCTTGTTTTTCAGGAACACGTGCCTACCTGGCTGCAGAACACTCACATTTATAACTGGCCAAAGAATAAGAAGAACATCCTTTTGCGGTTACTGAGGGAGGAGGAATACGTTGCTCCTCCAATAGGACCTTTACCAACACTCCAGGTTGTGCCGTTATGAACGTTATTACTTAAAGTGCACGACAAGCAGTTGTTAAAGGGTTGTTCTTGGCAGGGAGCCAACGCTCTTCCAGATGGCTCTTTTTGATGACAGAAGACACGCTTTCTGCTAAAGGAATTGGTTGTCTTGGGTAACTCAGGCTCAGCTTGTTCTCTACAATGTTAAACATCTATTTCTGAAGCTGATGGGGCAGAACTCTTCTCTAGATTTTTAAATAAGCTGCAAATGCAAAGAATGCCCAGTTTTATTTTAACATCTGTTTTTAACATATTCCTTTATTAGTCAATATAGCAAACAAATACCAGAAATAATGTTGCAATAAGTGTAAAATAAAAATTACATCCTCCTTTTTGCTCAGGGTTTCTTTAAAGATATTCCTGCCTTGTATAGCATTACCAAACAGTTAATTTGTGTATACACTATGAAATATATTTGCCTTTTGTAAGGCAACCTTATATATTGCGTCAGCTTTTATTATTGCTGGGAACAACAGAGGAATGGTAACTGTTGGGTAACGCAAGTTTTCCTTAGCCTGCCTTGCATAAAGACACTGTCTTCAATTAGAGGACTCTCAGATCTGAAATCTCTGGAGTTCCATTTCCTTACAGCTCGGCCCCTAACACCTTCAGCGTGTTGCAGCAATAGTCCACAAAAGGAGAGCTAAACGCATGACTACGTGTGTGCTGTCAGTACCATGGAACGCTACAGTATTTTTTATAGCAGGCCTTTAGCTTCATTACTGCTCTTCAGCCCTTATTTAAAACAGAGCATGTCAAAGGACAATTGGCATTTGGAAAGCCAGCGATTGTTAAGAGAAATAACATTGACTCCTACAACTTGTAGGCAGTATGGAACAATAAAAGAATCAAAGATGTTGGAGAGCCACGGGGTGTTGGCAACCAGGAAGGCTCAACAACATCACCTCTGCTAAAATTTGAACTTTTTTTTTTACAGAGCACATAAGTATGACTTTGGTGAGGGTTCTTTTTTTAAAACTGCCTTAACCTTACTGAGGTAGCAGTGGACCCTGTTGGCTTAAAATTCTGCAGCCCTTATTCTTTAGAATAGTTGTACAAGAATGCCCTGCTCTGACACAGAGCACTTCATGCCTGCTCAATGCAGGCTCTTTCCAAGATCCTCCTCAGCTTTATTATTTGTTACAGAATGACCCAAACACAGCTTTATAAAAAAGTCATGTGTTTGGTAGTCCAAAAAGTAAATTAGCCCATAGGTTGATACTCCTGTTACATTACCCGAATTATTTAATTAGGTTTCCACAAAGGTGGTGCCAGTGTGGTGTGTTGATACAGGACGTGTTTTGTGGTGCTCCTGAGACACAATTGAAGAACCACATTGCAGATATACTCAGATTTTCCTTTAGCAGGCTTTTGCATAAAGAGTTGCAGCCATTTAAGAGAACTGGGAGAAGGGTGCATCCAGTGTTGTCAACTCTTAGAATTTTGATGGTGGTATTTGCTGTGCTTCTTACAACTCCGATTTCGAAAGGGAAGCTCAACAATTGAAATAGGCTAATACCTGCCATGCCGGCAGCTTCCTGACAAGGCACAATAAAATTCTGTTAGGTGGTGGTACTTCTTGTTACCTTCTTGCATGTGGGGAGGGGAGGTCCATTCTCCACATGATAAAATGAAAAACTAAGCTTCCAATTAAGAAAATAACTTTCTAGTATACAGTGACAAGCCAAAAATCATGACAGAAATCCTTCTTAAAAGGTCAACAAAGTGAAGACAAAAGGAGTGGGATGTGGGATGTGGGATGACCCTAAACACCGACATTTAGGGTCACGTGGAGTGCCCTACGGCATTGAGCTCAGCCTCCAGGTTGAGCAAGTCTCCTGAAATGCTATGGCATATCCGCCAACACAATATGGCTGTCTCTGGTATTTTAAGGTCTGAAGTGTTTTAACACCATGAACTAGTCTGTCTCAAATGGCTTCTGAGCCCCTTAGCCAACTCCTACCACATTTAATAGGGAGAAGCTCAAAGATATTAAGTGCCTACGAGTTTCATGGAAATAATTACCTGAGCAAAGAGCTAGCCCCAAACCTGCATGCTGTGGAGGGAGAGGCAGCGGGGTTCAGGCCTGCGGACACCTCTTCCCAGAGGTGGGCAGCTGGCCAGGCAGCGCTCACAGGAGTCACAGCTGGCCACCCTGCTCCTGGACAGGGCTGGCAGGGGGCTGGGAGGGCTTTCGGGGTGCGCAGCCTGGGTAAGGCTGGAGGAGAGAAATCTACAGGGAACGAGGCTGTGTCAGTTTTGCTGCTTGCAAAGCAGCATATTAGGGAGCACAGTTAAGCATTCAAAATGATTAGCGAGGCTGGGTAGTAAATTCCTTTCATCATTTTGGCTGTCATCCTAAAATATGTGCTCTAGATTTAGCACAGATTTGCTTGGTTTGGGCCAGGGAATTTCATTAAGTAACTCCTGCATCATGTGATACACAAGGTTGCATTAAATGGTCCAGTGATCATTTCTATTCTTCTGTTTCAATGATCCTTTTCTGAAAAACAATGCTAGCAGAGTGAGTAAGAAAAACTAAGCTTTGGTGTTTAGGAAGTACAAAGAGCCCAATCTATTTAACTGCTGGGGCATTATTTTTTTTTAATTGAATAACAATTCCCAGGATTCATTGATCTTTACATTAGTTAGAGCATCCTACAAGGACAGAAACCATGATGGGGAGAGTCTGAGTAATGAGCTAGCAGCCTAGTGAATCATTTCCCCTAAAGCTTTGTATTTGTAGAGAGACAGATGGTGGGAGCTGTGAAGAGGGAGAGGGAGGAGAAAAGCCGTTTTTTGCAAACAACAAAAGTAGGGATAGAGGACAGTGAAAAAAAAGAAATAATCAGCAGGTAAGGGAGAAGAAGAGGCTGAGAATACACCGGCTGTTTCAAAACTAACACCTTAATGTTAAAATGGATTAGGGTTAAGGGAAAATATAGGAAGGAAATTACAGAAAACAAGAGCTTTGTGGCCGAGAGGGGAAAAATTTACCAAGAGCAGCCCTAAAAATATATTTGTAGATGAACTCTTGAGTCATTTATTAACTTTATGTGTAAATAATGGGGAAGTAGCTGAAAGTATGCAAGTCTCCCTCCCGCAGGCTGGCAGGTACCCACAGAGGCAAAAGGCATCGCTTGAACGGCGACAGTAGCGCCAGGGGTTTCTCTCACAGCGCCTGTACATTTGCAAGGGAGAGGAAATACACTGTCCCTAATGTGGAAAATAAGAAGCAAAGCAAGAGAGTTACATACTTAATGCTGGGATGAGGGCAGCATTAAGATAGAGAGATCATTGAGAAAGAGCCTGCTTTGCGGGCTTGCCAAAGCTCAGATTACATTAATGCATGTAAAGATTTTTTTATGCAAGTCACCTGTGTGACAAAAATATGGTTGTAAAGTTTTTATCCCACAGTTAAGCTAGATCGGCCTCTCCAGTGAGGGAAGTGTACGGCGGTTCTAGTACAAAGTTAATCCAATAAAGCCTTGCACACAAGACATGAAATGCTGCCCTAAGAGCTCATTTTCTCCTGGTAGGCTCTTAACTGCCATCATTTGGTGCCATTTAAGAAAATAAAGCAGCAGACGTCCCTGCAGCCTCTCTGGGACCAGCAGCAAGGCAGATAATGAAGCTGGCTCATTAGAGCAGCCCCACGAAGGGCACCTTCCTAGGAGCATGCCCTTCCCTCATCTCCAGACGGTGACTGGGCTGCAGGTACTGGAGACCCGGGCATCTTCATAACAGCATCAGTCTGGGCAGCAAACTTTGGCAGCGTGGAGGAGCTCCACAATGAGATGTACTGATGGAGGACAAGGAGCAATTGCCACCATTTATCATGCTTCTGGGTTGTTGGATTGGAGGCACTGGTAAAGCTGAGGGAGATACCTGGTCTTAAAAGGTAATGGAGTGGGAGAAGGTGGAGCTACGTGGCCTCACAGTGCAAAAGGTCTACCGTGGTAACAAAAGAAAACACATCTCGGGAGAGTTTCCTCACCCTCAGCATGCAGAACAGGTGCACGTTATCTTCCAAAGCAAACATCTCTCTTGTTACGCTTTGGCTTTAATTTAACAGGTTCCCCCATGCCCACACCTGCAGGAGTCTGCCACTGTTTAATGCATGTTTGGGAAACAGAACCTGCCTGGAGGGTCACGGCTTTCAGCAGTCTCCCCCTTCACCACCCTTTATCATGACACTGCTGCAGGAAAGCACTCCCTTAATACTGGGTTTGCAGTACCGATGGGCTGGCGCTACTCCTTCCCACTGGTCGCCAACACGGGTCTTTGGAATTCCAGGCTGGCACACAGCACATCAGTATTGTTAGAAATCTTCACTTTGTCATTTCTGCTTGAGCTGTGCCAATAGCTGCTCACACGGGTCTCTGCAGCCAGCACGAAATGCACAGCACACGAACATCTCACAAAAGCCGCTTGCAAAGCCCTCTCTGAGACGCAAGGCCTTCAGACACGCACCTCTCCCACTTTGTCTACTGCTATTATAATTAGTGGAGGAAGAACGATATCTATATTTGTATTAAAACAGTTATTGCTAACAGTGAGAGGTGTTCTCTGGTCTGCAGGAGAAGCACGTCTGGAGTGAGCACAGGTGTCCATCACGCACCTGCTCTGAGCCACAGCCACAGATGGGCGCTGGATGCTGCTGCCCACACAGGCAAAGCCAAACCAGGCCCCAAGATGCCAGCCTGCAGAAGGAGGCAGCACAGTAGCAGCCTCTCCAATGCCGGCTCCAAATTAAGCCAGGAGTAAGCTGGAAGAGCTCAGCTCCACTCCAGCCTTCGCAGGCTCGGAGCCCTGCCTCAGCCTGATCATGGAGCCATGCACAGACCACCAGCTGTGTGTCCCTGTCTGCGGCCAAGATCACTTGTAAACAAACAAAAAACCATCTAAAACTAAGTTTCCCAGCCTGACCTGATCTGCCAGCTAGGCTACATTTCAAGGGCTTGCTGGTGTAGATGGGACCAGACAAATATAAACATACATATCCTCCATCGCGGCTCTGGGCACTGCACGCCATTGTGCAGATCCATGCAAAATGGAAGAAATGCCACCAAAAGCAAAGACAGGGTTTTGTTTTAAACATTTGTTCTTCATTGAAAGGTATCAGGGACTTCTCCAGTTTCCAGAGGGGGAGAGGGCAAGTGCCTGCTTGCCCACCTAACCCTTGGGTCAGGGGAGCTTTGCAGCAACTTCTGCAGCTGCCAAGCCCATGGGGCTAATGGATGGATCCAAGGAACCTCAGGCAAAACACGGATGCACCCAGTGTGTGTAAATGCCTGCAGGATTGGCTGGGGTGGAAGGGGGAAAAGGGTGGCCCAAATCCTGCCAGGGAGTAGGTGACTTCCCAGCACCTAGTTTGCAGGTTGGGTCGATGAAGTCCTCTCTGTTGTATCGTACCAGTCTTCTAAGAGGTGGTGGTG